ATACTAATTAAATGCCCAGACATCGTCGAAGCATCTGCTCAAGAAGCCGACATGTCAACCTGAGACTGAGCACTTCGGTCCAATCAATCGACGGGAAAATCCAAAATTCAATTAAATATTAGTTATTGTTTGCAGAGAAGCAACGCCTTCTGATTGGTTGTTTTCTTGCTGAAGGTTATTCTGTACTGCTTGTGACCGTTTCTTAGAAAATTAAGCTATATATCTGCGAATCGTATTTGCACACGTTAAGTCTGCTGTGATTGGTTGGTGAGTTCCTCAAGGTTAAGCTTTGTTATTATTTTTCTCATGACCCAGATTCGGGGCCTAACATTGACGTAAATTGCTGTCTACAATTTTTGGCTTGCAGCTGGCTTCGGCCACACTAGCACCTATAGTTGTCACGGCTACGTAAATTCCCACAGTTGTTAACATTGTCATAAATGGTATACAACTGAGTATTCATCAAGTGAATAACTCATCAAGGTTCGTTATGTTGCAGGGATTCTGATTTCTTCTATCAAATGCATAATTCCTTGGTTAATCTTCTGATTTTAATCGAAAATTTCGTCATGTATTTTTCTGATAAAACTTAACTAACTAGTTTATTTTACAAGTTTTGATCAAGTCTTAGTTAAACAGAATGAAAGATGTCTCATAGGTGGGAGATAAAAGTCTAGAAATAATAACAGTGATAAAAAGTAATATTATTTAAGGATTTCAGTTACATTATTGTGCAATTAACAGTCCAGCTAACATCCTAAATTTAACTATTATTCATCGAATGTGACCTGTCTGACCAATTCATCTCCATTTTTCCAAAATATTTCTGGGGAGATAGGCTCTAAATCAATTCGTTCCCATAATCCTGTCGACCAAAACTAACAATATCCTTGAGGAAAATATGCAGCCAGCTCGTCTCACTCCAGTATTCACTTCAAAGGTTTCTCGGAGATTTTTGTCGTGGATCACCTGAAACATGTCACTATCATATAGTTGTTGAAGAGGGTTGATAAAGATTTGGAGCACTGCACTACATTGCAATGCATTGTGTTGAAGTAGTTTGCAAACTACTTCGTGGTGAACACTGTCGAAGGCCTTTCCGAAGTCGATGAAGTTGAGATAGAGAGAGGGCTGACTGTTATTCTATTCTCTGTTCGATGATGATGACTATGCGTAGAGTTGCAATTTGATCAGTACATGATTTGCCTTTCGTGAATCCAGCTTGTTGTGGTCGGTGGAGCTGGTGGTGTTTTGTATCCAGTGCATCTTATATTCTCTCCAGGATGATGCGACCTAGTATTTTACTCGGCGTGGACGAGAGGATGATTTCACTCCAGTTTTTGCAGAGGCCTAAGTCGGCTTTCTTTAGAAGTTTGACGAAGTAGCCTTTCTTGCAGTCAGTAGGCTCCTTTCCTTCCTTCGAAACTCTTTGCAATTGTGGTTTGAGTATATCTGTTGCAGTCTCTGGGTCCTTCTTCAACGTGTCAGGGAGAATTCTATCTGCTTTTGGTGCCTTCCCGGCCGGGATGCGGTAGCTTGATCGCATTTAGGATTTCTGCTTTCGTTGGAGGATTGGTGTCCACTGGTAGGTAGTTCTGTGATTGATGTTGGTGGTAGTGGTATATCTGGGCTAGTTGTAGATGATGGTCGATTCAGGAGTCGTTTGAAGTGATGAGTCCATTGTTTTATTCGTTTCTCCTTCTTGGTTATCACGTTCCCTTGACCATCTCATATAGGTGTTTTGTATCCAGTGCATCTTATATTCTCTCTGGAATAATGGAACCTAGTATTTTGCTTGGCGTGGACGAGAGGATGATTCCACACCAGTTGTTGCAGAGGCTTAAGTCGGCCTTCTTTGGCAGTTTGACGAAGCAGCCTTTCTTGCAGTCACTAGGCTCCTTTCCTTCCTTTCAAACTCTTTACAATTGTGGTGTGAGTGTGTGTGTTGCAGTCTCTGCGTCCTTTGTCAGCGCGTCAGGGAGAATTCTACCTGCTTTTGGTGCCTCCCCGGCCGAAGTTCAGCATTTTGATGGCATTTAGGACTTCTGCTTTCGTTGGAGGATTGGTGTCCACTGGTAGGTAGTTCTGTGATTTCTGTTGGTGGTAGTGGTATATCTGGGTGAGTTGTAGATGATGGTCGATTCAGGAGTCGTTTGAAGTGATGAGTCCGTTGTTTTATTCGTTTCCCCTGACCATCTCATATAGGTTTCACCTGTGTTGACTTCTTGCCTGATAGAGACCTGCATATCTGATATGATGTTCTCAAATCTACTTTACTTGCGGTCTGCCTGTCCTCCTTCAGTTGCCAGCCAGTGTGTTGTAGAATTGTCTTTTGTCCTTCCTAGCACTCTTCTTCACGTCTTTCTTGATTCAGTGCGATGTACACTGAACTCAGATTCTCCTTGTGTTGTCCATCTTTGCATTGAGTCATCTTCTCTTTCACCATCCTCCTCTCCTCACCTCTCTTCTATTGGCTTCTGGGTAGGTGTCCGTAGAGAGCCGTGTCTTTTCTTTCTTCCGAAAACCGTGTTACATGATTCCGGGAGTATCGCCTTCACAGAGTTCCGATGTTATTCCACGTAGGTTTCCTCAATGATACCAAGTAGTGTCTCCGACTTCGCTGTGATATCTGTAGTGAAGACATCCCTTATAGTTTCGTCTTTCAGTTTCTGAATGTTGAATTGGGATTTCGTGCTGTCTCCAGTTGTTTTGAGGGATTTCAGCTTCACTATGAGGCTTCGTTGCACTCGATTCTGGTCTCGACCCACATCTGTTCCCCTTCTTGACCTCGTGTCCAGCAGACTGTGTGTGTCTGCACTTTCTTGAGCAACGTTGAAATGAAGTCTGTCTGGTTTGTGGTCTGTCCGTCAGGTGAAATCCATGATGCCTTGTTGATATCCTTGTGGTTGTACACGCTGCCTCCAGTCACCAAATCATTGAAGGCGCAGAAGCCTGAGAAGAGTTCTCCATTGTCATTCATTTCTCCGAGCGAGAGCCTGTCGACCCATGATGAGTTCTCTTCCTGTATTGTCTGCTCCCAGTTCGGCTGTCATTCATATCGCCCATTAGGATTTTGATGTCTCGATTCGGGATGTTGTCCATCACTGTTTTCAGTTTCCTGTGGAAATCTTCCTCCTCCTATTGTTCCGAGTTGTTTGTAGGACTGTGAGTAGTATTGGATGATTGTAAGCTTTCTTTCTTCCTTCCTTCCCTCCCTCCTTTCGAGTTGAATCTTGCTGTCATTATCCTGTCTTCGAGCTTTGGCTGGTGTTTGTGACATCATGATAGCCACTCACTACTGCTTCAGTGTGCTTGTGGTTGTCGTCTGGGTGAACAGGCCCGAGTGGCTTACTGAGTCTCCAGTTGACAATTTCGACATTTCACATCCATTCCACGTGCCCTCTCAGATTCCGAACATCTCTCTACCGTGTCTGGTGATTTCTTTGGGCAGCCTTCCCAGCCAGCATCGTATATTGTACGGACGTTCGACGTTCCCATCCTTGTTCTTGCTTTCATCGAGTGGAGACACATTGACTGGCTGACTGGCTTCGAGAAGTCTTTCACTGGCCTACTGTGTCATTTCTCCTCTCGGATTCCAGCGCTTATTATTTATTTTAATACTGTTTGCTTTTTAATATAGTTTTTGTTCCTTGATCTTTGTCTATCTGTTTTAATTTTGTTTTTGTTTAGGTTCGGTATTCCCATGTACGAAGTCATTCTTTCCTCTCTCTTGTGACCGGCTAGGAGTCTATAGTGCTTGTGAATTATCCGAGATTACTTGATGCGTGAAATGTAGCGCAATGTAACTGATTTAGAGAAACTTGCTGCAGTTCGCAACCATGCTGTTTACTACCTCACTATTTTTTCTCCTGATCGCGTCAAAATATTTCCCAAGATGTTTTATTATTTCCTAATAGCGTACTGTAAATTTCTACCTCAACACATGTTTCTTATATATGGGAACCCAATCGCTTTAGAGAAGGGGAAACAGACTCATTGAATAAGTTTTTATTAAATGAAAGTTCGATCCCATTTGTATAGATTATTCTGATGAGTAATCCCTTGTTGTTATCAAAACGTCTCATCTGCACACAACACATATATGTCTCCGCATAATTGTTTGAAAAGCGTTAGGAAAAACATTATTCAGCTAGTCGATATGATTGGAATCAACAACAAAGCCACTGCTTTTCAGATGACTGACTGTTTAGTTTTTACAAGCAAACATTTTATCAACAATATGTAAATGTAACCCAAGTAGTGCATTAAACTTAGTGTAGTTCACAATTCATCCATTCAGTGTATGTCTAGTAGATCGATGGAAGCATCGTGAAATGAGTAAAGCATTTAATAAAAAGTGACGCGGTAATTTCTTAAACGCGAATTGGAATGTTATGGTAGACGTTAAATGCCATGTTCTTGTAGCGCTGTTAAAATTTCCCTTGGAAATTTTTTTTTGTCAATAATTTTTAATGAAATTGCGTTATATGTTATCTGGATTGATGGGAATTCCCATTTTCTGGCCTGTTATTTTGGTGTCCGCGTCATGTGTGTTTCTGTGTTGGAAGTCGTACCCATTACACATTTAAATTTATCCAGAATCGTCGTTAAGTCATCCAGCCTTTCCTGCCTACTCCATGCAAACATAACCGGTAGACCTTTTCCATGAGAGTCTGTAACAACAAATTGAAACAGTTTATAGCTTCAAATATTTGATGTAGTAAAAACATTTACACCTACTTTCCTCTATTAGTGTTGTAGGTGGAATCGAAACTCACGACCTCAGGGAATTTGTGGTAAATTTCGATTTGCCTATTTGAACTAAAACATGCTATTTTTATTCTTCCATCGTTTTCACCCCGAATTATAACCAATTTCCCAGCTTGGTGTAATCTGGAAAAAACCACTGACTGTAAATCACAATCTGAAAGGTTATTCTTGTACATCAAAGTCTCACCTTCAACTACAGTAGCTCTTATATTTCGTAGATCATTGTACGTCATCCTTTTCTAGAATCGTTCTGCAACGTAATCAATAACCTTTTCAGGATCGGATGAAACAGACAGCATCGGCTTAACTATAGAAAGTTCAGACTCATCTAATTTGCGTGCTCTAGCATCCTTCATTAAATAATCACGAGTGCAATAGTGATTATGAATCATATATACAGATGGTATAATGAATTCATTGCAATGATATCGGATTCGTATCATTGATGGGCAACCACAGTATTTAGATCTACTCCGTAAGACATTAAAAACCACAGGAAACTTACCCTCTAAGGCGGATGTGATTGCTTACGGATTTCCTTTTGTATCCAAAAGTACATACATACACCGCATAGTCATACTTCACATGTGGCTCATCCTTATTTAATTTCGATTCTTTCACAATATACCGGGTGTTTGTTAACTGATAATAGACACACTGATACTGTGCTTACCTTCTCAAAAAGCTTCAAAGCTTTTTCAACGTCATCCCAGGTTCTAAATTCTTCAGGTTTAATTTGCTCTTCGAAAACTTTGCTAATATCAACTCTGATTGTATTTTCCTCATCAGACTGACTCGTATATTGCTGCATGCTGTAAACATGAATGTGATAGACATTGTTTTTTCCAGATTTCTACATGTTAAGTAAGCAACTGAGCCAGCAACAATAACGGCAACCAACGAATGAACTGGAAACAACCGCTTCCGCCATCCAAACATGCTCATGCGCATAATTTCCAAAACTTCTAGACAGTACTAGTTCAGTATTAGCGGAAAAACAACTAAAAACCTGAAACTATGCATGGATGCAACGTATGAAACAATTACAATGAAATGAATGCACTGACCTGCTGGTAAAAGCTTTCGAAACAAACGAAATAACTAATTTTAACAGAAACGGAAACAATAATGAGGTGAAACGAAACATTTGTAAACAATGTGCATCAAGATACGTGGTGAATAAGTGCTGGATAAACGGGAAAATCGATGTGTAAACGAACAGCAACGGAACTGCAATCCAACATGGCCGACTAACATGGACGAAAATGACCTTGGAGCGTCTCACTCCATCAATGACCTTGTACATGGCGTTTAATTTCTGCCGAATGTTATCACTAATTACAAAGGCTTTATGACAAAGAATAACAATAATAATAACGGCTTTCATATTTAACGGCCATGGTGATAACGACAATGATAACAGTTGTCACAGTTACAAAGAATTAGTTATTAGCTTAGGTGGACGGAATCGCATCAATAAAATATATTGTTCAATGTCGGAAAAATGTGTGTACTTCTCTTTTTCCTGGTGGAACATCTCTATATCTTAAGAATACTCATTTCCAGTGCCAATGAGCCCAGCTAGTTTGTGCTACCAAAATTCAAGTTTAGTTCTGAAGGAGAATAGGCACTTTATGTATTTCCATTAGGAACATGGAGCCTGCATGTACTACGCTAATCAGTGTAGTGATCCTCTGACGACTGATTTCCAATTTTTGTGGCAGAAGTAGGAAATCCACAGGTACCTGCCTCAACCAGGTTATTTTCATCACGATTAACCTGCCTGTTGAGGATTTTATACGAGCCAAAGGTTTGCTGAAAATATTGGTTAAGTGATAATTGAAACTGCATAATTTTACCACGTCTTTGGAGCGTTGGACGCATTCTTAGTAAACCTATCAACTCCCGTGACTTTTGCATCGAACAAATTCACTGCAGTGAGCAAATAAATCCACTGACATATAGTTTCTTTCCCTTGCTGAAATAGTACGTACCGGCATTTGTACAACCAGTTAAATTAGAAGCCTCCGGAGGATGTGAACTATAACACACGACGATGGATATTGGCACACAGTGCTATATAGAGAGGCTAGGCAATTGTAGGTCACTTTTGCACGTTGTGATTGGTAGATTTTCGTATGCGTAAGCATTGTTGGTAATATGCGGTGCACGTTAATGATGTGGGCCCTGAAATTACCACAACCCTAATGACAAACTGACCAATCACAAGCAACATAGTGAGTTGCTTATCTCACTGAAGGGCATACGAAATAACACACGTCGACAGACTACCCCAGTTTGGTTTTGGGGTGCAGGCAGATGCAGTTGACGTGGTTTCGGCGTTCATATAGCCTAGGTGAATTCGTATGAGAATTTTTGTTCGTTATTGTTTCCAGGCATGGATGCAATATTTATGCAGCAGGACGCTTAAATACGTGTTTCATGCTGTGATTGTTCAGTATACCGAGTATGCTTCGCGTACATTTGGGAAATTGACTTTTGAATGATTTCTCTGCAGCTTGGACATCTCGTCGTGTCACGTGCGTGCACGATTACTAGCTAGCTAAGCATTCACCTCTACCCGCGATTTTGTCCCGAAATATACTACGTACTTTGGACGACAAAATCTGGTCTTTTGCTTTATCTTTGGTACTCGAAGAACGAACACTATAGAAGTTGTTGGTATAAGATCTTGCGTTAGTATAATCCGTACAACTCGCGAACGTCGATACCGTCAACCACTAAATCACCATGTTTGTAGACTGGAAGTGCACAGCCAAGCATCTACGCCTTTGGAATATTATTTTGTTACGATTGGTTTTCCGTGGACACATTCTAGCTACCTAGGTATGCATTACCACCCCAGAATTTTGGTCCCGAAGTGTATTTCGTGTTTTGAAGAGCCGATTCCTTGCCTTCTTGGCTTGAGTAGGACAAATTTATCAGGAACTTAAGGACATATACTTGCGTCTAAATATAAGCGTATCATGCGTATCTGTTGACAATTTTCTTTTAAAGTAGGTCCAACGGGACCAAGGTTTCCGCAGTTAAATCTAACTGGCACATGCAACCGTTTAAGAATGTCTGTATTTTCAAAGCAGAACGTCTGAGCTATGAATCACCCGAATATCTGATACCACTCTTAGCAGCCGTAATAAAAATGTGACCGTTATTGTGAGGTAGCACACTATACAAATGCAATAGTATATATGGGTAAAGGCGGATAAAGCCATCAACCTTAAGAGCAGTGGAGCAACTCTGCGTATTGCAAGCATGTGAAATTCATCGACAGCATTATTTACACTCGAGGTTTACAGATTTGAAGTCGCATGGTTCGACGATAACGTGAGCGGAGGCATTTGAATGACTGTAGTGCTACCTGTTAGTGAAGGGCTCATGGTTTCATGAAAGTTCCTAGGCAGTTTAAAAAGCGTAGGATAACGGGTGAACTCGGATTTGGATACATTTATCTAAATATATTCGAACAACTGTAAAAAGTGTCGTACATTTCCGAACCCAAGAGGGTTATTTTGTTTCGAATAACACCCATTTTCGAGGGATCAGTAATAAGTGAATTTAGTGGGTTATTCAAATGACATGCGTGTTATGGGGGACGCACTACAGGCTCATATATCTCTTTATAGTAGTGTGCATCTGTTGACTGGCACTCAATAGCAGATAACGATAAATGACCTTACATATCTCCCACTTTTGGAGCGCGACGATCACGCTCACAGAGTTTTAGAGGCTAAGGGTGTTGACGTTCGCGAACAGTACGAAGTATACTATCGCGAGATCTAATACTCACAATTTCTATAGTATTCTGTTGGCGTGGACAAAGCAAAACACCAGATTGATCGTACAAATTAAAGTATATTTCGGGCAAATCGTAGTTCCATATGACTCTTAATAGCTAGGGAATGTTCACAAACGACCGAGTGTAACATGACAGCGTGCCGAATTGGGTGGATATTTGACCACCAGCCTTCAGGTAAGCAAATCGACTAAAACAGTGAGGGTCAGAATCCACTGTTCATTGATGAATTCTGCGGCCAATAATTTTGGGGAATTACCTGCCGCCCCAACATCTTTGTGATCTTCGTTGGAAGTTTGATATATCTCACCCAGAATGTAACTTAAAATTTGTCAGTCCCACCCTAATTTATGCGAGAAATCTCTTTAAACAGTACAAGTGCAGACACAAAGCTAAACTGTGGAATCTGCATCTCTCTTGCAGCATAAATTTGGAATATTTAGACATGTTCTTATATGGTGGAAGATCGGGCTATCTTTGGCTTACTGCGAGCTAAATGTTTTCGTGCCATTCAGGAAAACTCTGAAAGATCATAAAGGGTTCACTTACCAGTATCCAATAAGCCGAATGTGTAATTCGGACTCCTGAATATTTGGGTCATCTACGGGAACTCATTGCTACAACTTAACACTTTGTCGGCAAATGTCTTAACATAAAACAGGTCATCACAGTGTTAAACACATCAAGGACACACAAACTTATTTATTTTTTTGATAATAGCTTGACTGCACACCGTATTTTTGGTACAAGCATGGAATTTTCAGGATGTGATGCCAGTAGCCCGAATTTTGCAGTCCGACAATTGATATCAGGTGAGTCGGCCGGGGATCGAACCCCGGACGATGTGCTTGGTCGGCGAGGATCCTAACCGCTGTGCCACCTTTTTGTGATGCGTGTGTAATTTCCTGGCTATATTATTCCAATTTTTCTTCAAAGAAACACCGAACAGGGGTTCTGGGCAGTCACCTTGCATAAAAGATTTCGAAATTTCAATATGCAGCTGCTGTGGAAGCGAATTCTCTCTATTCAACTATCTGGATTCTATGGTGATCTACCAGCTGAGAACTATAATAAGCTGAAACTCACTCATAAACCAAGGAGTAAAAGCAATTAATTCACCATATGGAAGGCGTAATAGGATCAATGAGGATGTATGTATACAACTTTATTCAGTTACAAACATCCCTACGGTTGATGCAGAAGAAATGATATTGGAGCAGAAACAGATTCAGATTTACGGGTTGAGGATAGAAGGCTTGGAGCCTATGTTAATCCTTTTCTAGTAAATTTCTGTGGTTTTCCAAACCCTTCTTGAAAGAATCAGTTGTGGTTGCAGACACCACTTCTTCTGGGAGTCGGTTCCAAGAGTTTATGACTCGATGTGAGAAGAAGTACTCAACAGCAATATGATTTCTTCTTGGCTTTTGAACTCTCCTGCTATGTCCTCTAAGGCGTTCCGACCTGGTGGGAAGGAAAAGAGAAAATAGGTCAGGTTCGTAGTCATTATTTTAAACATGTTAATTAAATCTACTCTCTGTCTACGGTATGATGAGGAGAAGAGATTTAAACTGTCTAGTCTTCCCCCTATCATAAATTGGTCATGCCGAGAATCAGACGTGTCGCCTTCCTTTGAACCCTCTCTAGAATATGTGAGTAATATGAGCGTATCACTGTCGGCCTTCAGCTCTCTCCAAATTTTTAAGTCATCTGCGTATAGGACCATAGGGGAGTGGGTGAGCAGAGATAACTCATTGATATACAAAATAAATAGGAGAGGTCCGAGTACCGTGCCTTGTGGCACTCCGCTGCGTACTGCTGTCCAAGAGGAGAGTTTCGAGTTGATCCTAACCCTCTGCCTCCTATCTATGAGGAATTCCTTGAGCCAGTTTTGTAGGCTGCCTTTGATACCAAGACTTTCCAACTTCATGAGTAGTCTTTTGTGAGGTACTTTATCAAAGGCTTTGCTGAAGTCTATGAAGACGACGTCAACGGGTCTACTGTTGTCCCTGGATTTGACCCAGCTTTCTCTTGCAGTGAGAAGATTTGACAGGCATGAGAGGTTCCTTCGGAATCCATGCTGTGCTCTTGATAATGATCTTCTATTTTCTAGATATTCCATGATGCTTTTCTTGATGATTCTTTCCAGTGTCTTGATTAAAGTGCTGGTGAGACTGATAGGCCCGTAATTTGAAGGGCTTCGTCTTGATCCTCCTTTGTGGATAAGGGTTACTATGGCGTCTTTCCAGTTACGCGGCAACGCTCCATTTAGGAGGGAAAGCTTGAAGATCGTAGTCAAAGGGCCGGTTATGTGGGCTGATAGCTCCTTGAGAAGCCTTAGATGAAGATTATCAGGACCCATTGATTTCCCTACATCTAGTTTCATTAGGCAGTTGAGCACGATGCCTTGGTCGATGTCAACGGAATCTATCCCATGTTCTTCTGATGCAGCCAGGGCTGATCCTATAGGCAGTGACGACTCCTGAGTGAAGACTTGGGAGAAGTAGTTTGCCATTGCTTCTGCTTTTTCTTGATCTTCGATTGTTTCATTGTCAATAGTCAGGTTTGGGAGACCATTAGATGTCTTATTCCTGAAGTTCATGTACGAGAAAATTTTCTTAGGTTGTGCCGTTGCATTTTGAGCCAGGTGTGCTTCGAACTTCATCCTTGATTGGCGGATTTCTGCAATAGCTTTATTTCTAGCAGTGTTATATAATTGCCTGGTCTCAGAAGTTTCAAGTGTGGCAAACAAGTTCCAACATTTGTGTTTAATTCTGAGTAATCTCTCGGTTTATCCAAGGGGGGCAATGTTTCCAGCCCTTTGGGACAGACCAAGGGATGAAAGGTTTAGTTACTTGGGCGTAAAGTTGTTTAAATTGGTTCCATGCGGCTTCTACTTGAGACTCTGGGTTGATGTACCAGTTCACTGAGTTGGCTGCTGAGACGATTGCATTTATATCAGCTTTCCAAACGTTTGGTCGAGATGGGGTTTTGGCCCTTGCTGCCGTTGCTGTGAACTTGAAAGTGAGCACAGCATGGTCACCGTGGGAGCATGGTCCAGAGTTGAGGAGGAGTGCTGTGAGTCATAGTGCGTGGGCTTAATGATATGTTGGACTAGAGCTAACGATATACTAGATTCCAGCAGTTTATAATCAAAGGAGTTGGCTGAGGATGGAGTTGTTAGGCTCGTCCAGTCAACTGTTGGGGCATTGAAGTCGCCAACTACGAGAATTTAACATTTCGAGGTCCAGGAGCCTAGCTTCTCTATAAGGAAGTCATCTGCACTGCAGTCAGGACTGCGGTACATATCAATGAGGTCAATTTCTTGGCCTATGCATTTAAGTCTGCAGTGTAGAAGTTCACAGGACTCACTTTCGTGAGTGAGTGCTTCGATACTACGCACGGTTTAGCAGTTCTTGAGGTAGATAACTACTTCACCTCCTTTGCGGTTTAGTCGGTCCATCCTATGCACTTTGAAGTTTAGCAGGTTAACTTTGTTGTCAGTGACATTGGGTTTGAGCCATGTCTCTGTGATAATAATTACATCCGGGTTTCCGCAGTCTATCATGTTAACCAGCTCAGTCCGTTTATTTAACAGGCTGCGGACGTTTGTGTAGCAAACTGTCAATTCAGAAACGGAAACAAAGGGTTACCTTTACTTTTCAGTAGAGGAATACTTTGTGTAATTAGTCTTATATACTCAAAAATTAGAGACAGAGTCTGAATCTGTTTAGTCTCAGTTTATTTGTATTAGTTGACCTTGAAATCCAGTCCGCTGTCATTAAAGTTCTGATGGTAAGCACGTTTTCAGAAGGATTTTACCTACTTTCTCCCCTTGTTGTTAAAGTTTGGAAATAATAAAGGTAGGCTGCTTATCAGATCTTAAATCTATCAATCTTCCACACTGGCCAAATTAATAAGAAAATGAGTAGGGATATCAGCATTCATGATACAGTATAAATTCTTAGGTAATTTATTAATTATAGTGCCAAATAACCCCTTTTCTTATGTTCACTACTGTGAGGATAATTTCATTTCCATCCCAAAAGTTTTTAGTGAATATTATGTGGCCCAGAGACGTATTTAGTCCGACAAAAATGGGCGGAGAATGGTTAAAGGAATGATAGTATAATGTGCAAATTGCAGTTTAAATGGGAAAATCTTGCTTAAATAACGATTAAGTTGGGAAATTAGTAGCTAAACGATAGGAAATATTGGATGAACTTTAGTTAATGTAGGGAAAAAAGATGTCATATAACCAGAATTCGCCCATTTTCCATTTCTGTGATCATGCCCAATATTTTCTCATCTTCCCCTGATTTTTTTCCACTCTCGTCCGACTGTGTAGTGTGTACAAACTCATTTGAGTAGATCAAGATGATATCAGACAAGCATAGACGTAAACTGATTAACCTAGGCTTGAATTGTTCTACCTACTACTGAAAGCACAAAAATCAAGTGTACATTTATTACAATATTTGGTATACAGTAATGTCTTAATTCCTCTCCTTTTGTTTCGCATATATAAATCTATCATTTAGTCAAATTATAGTACACATGTCTATTAAGAACCTACATACGACAAAACATTGCACGATGGTGGAGTTTTGGAATGAAATCTACTGCCTGATCATAGTGTTTTTGCCATATCATTAAATAGAATTGTCAGACTATTTCAAAGCTCCATACCATTAATGGTTAGGGCTTTTATAGTGAAGTATGTCTGCTCTAGACAACAAAGTTGCTGTATAGAGTTATCAACACCCTCATGAAAATAATGAGCAAACGTAATGAAGCCATCTGTTTCGGTGATCGCTGAAGTCATATATCTTAGCATGTGATTCATTTCTACACATTTATTTTCATTTGGCATTAGTCCTTAATCTATATTAGTATATAATCTATATACTAAAGTCCCATATCCAACACAAATTCCCTCTATACACTGACCATATATTAAGCGGATCCAAAGGCTAGTACAGTAAAGCTGGCAGGTTGGCATCAGTAACAGCCCAGTCATTAATGCTTTCTTAGCAAGCTTTTTCCTTCTTTAGCGGATATTCGTTTGTTTTAAGGAAATGATAGTTGCTGTTTATCCTCAGGAAACATGTTGCCACTGAACCCAAACATCTAAATATAGTCTCTGTGACACTCAGTCACTAAGTATATGCTTAGTCTTGGGTTTTATTAGTGGATAGTATTCTGATAGTATCTTCCCTGACTGATACAGAAGTGCTACCTGGAGAATCAAATGCATAGGTTGGATTTTTAGGCTCGCTGGCGAGTTATTAATGTAGTCGGTGTGGTCTAGATGGTCAATTAATAAACACTTTCCTTCATCAATGTACAGACCACACCTTATTTCCAACCAGTACCAACTTCAATGACAACTGTTATGGTTGTGTTGCCCGGTTTTAACCATCTTTCGTACAAGTTTGGACTCAAATAGGTCACACTGTCATCCACTACCGATGGTGGCATAAATGTATTCAGGACCGCATCGCCCTCTGGAGGACTTATAGGAATCCTGATCATGCTGCAGTCTGTCAGTTTCTCTTGTGCTTTCGTGGTCATAAACGCTGTCCTAAGTGGATTGAATTAGACGCATTAATTGACCCACCACTGCAGCGAAATTTCAAACCAATCTAGAATCGGCTTTAGCCATTAACACGCAAGATAGTACAAACGAGTATCTGTTTCTTTAAAGGATCTGTGTAATGTGTATGTTAATCGTAGGACTACTATTCTGTTATAGAGTGCCTAAAAGTTACTAGATGCTTTCGTGCTGTTTTGTAAGCTTGTTTAGAGTATTGATTCGTGAAGGATAGGTTGAGTGTAATCCCGGTAGTGGATGAACCAACCAAGCGGATGCCCGGCGCTCTTCACCGGGTTGACTGTCCATTGGATGGCAGTCTAGGGGAGATGGTTAAACCCCGATTCCAAACCTCCAACGACTGGCGTATGAAGCTCACTGGAGCTCACCGGCAGACGTATGGACAAAGGGCTTTTTGGATGTCCTGAATGTCTGGCCCCATTCAAAAAGGCGTATGAACCGAACTCCGGTCACCGGCTGCCAATGGATAGTGGACTCCCTACTCCACTCCTACTGCCTTGTAGGTCACACTTGGTTGTGTAAAGGCTAGAGCTGCACTCTCAAACAAAAGGCCGAGCGATTCTGGGGACATCACTCGTACCGAATTCCCATGAAACTTCATGAACTCATGTTCATGAAGCCCGCTCATCCTCCCGTAGGAGACAGCCGAAGTAAAGTAAGTAAGTAATACTATTCCCTCATTTGTTGGAACTTGGTCACATGAATTACATATCAACTATCGTTATTTCTTGGTTGAAATTCCCTAGTACAAAAATGATAATCATCCTCGGGACCCTATGCTACCCATCATCACCATCGATATTCTGACTCGAAATCAAACTGAATAATTGGATACAGTTTATCACGAGTTATGCGTAAGAAGTTGTGTCATGTGATCCACAACAGTTAGTTTAACCCAGTCACGTAGGAAGGTGTAGACTTCCTGGTTGGGGTCCTCGGGACGGTAAAAACCTATGGTTGGAAACATTTGCTGACATGGCTCAAAATCGTTTCCAATGGCGCAGATGCATCCACTTCTTCTGACTTATGGTTTCCAATTAAAATTTTGTTCTTCTTTATTACTATACCTTTGTCTCACACCTCTGTTTACTGTCTATATCATGCATTTCTCCTACTTTCTTCTCTTGCTTTGTGTGCTACATGGAAGGAGTGTGGCGACTTGAACTGCCGCACGTATGTGCAAAGTTCTATGTCGAAAACAGACAGACATGTGATTGCCTTGGAGTCTGTAAGCATGTTGTGAATTACTAGCTAAAGTAGTATAAAGTTGCAAATGAGTTTGAGTGGTCAGATCAAAACATAATGTCAATCTATGAAGTCCTTATTTGTTTATGTGAACACCCCATGGGTTTACGTTGTCTAGTTGTAGTCTTCTGAATGGTTCAAACCAGCGATTAGATTGTTCTCTTATTATAACTGAAAATCCTACCTAGTGGAGCAGATATACAGAGTTATCATTTTCCAGATTCAAAAACCACTAATTATCACTTATTGCTGTCTTCATCATACATTTGTTTATAATAGTATAATAACACTTCCGCTCTATTTTGTATGCTTCTGCAGAATATAAAGACTTGAACTGATGCTTATCTTAAATTAATTCTTCAGTCTGTCATTTTAACGAGGCTTTTGAAAGTTTACAGAGGCTGTTGTGTAGGTAATTTGTAAAGTCAGTGGCTAACATGGTGAACGTTTAAAAACATCTAACAGAAATAACTTATGGCGCTACCGACAATATAAACGTACTGAATTTCGTATGGTAGTTTCATTTCTATATTTTTAATCAAGTGTGTTGGTGTTCACATATTGGTTATGTTATTCGCCAAAAGTTCCATAGGAATATTTGTGCATGGTGAACATTGTCATCAGTTCATCAATTATACAAACTATTTACCCTACTCACTGAACTGGGAATAGAAAAACTTGAAGATACACACCATAAGTCGGGATTGAAAAGGAAGTTTGAGATAATGCAAGAGTGTTACTGGGACCATTCCATTTTTATTTGGCGTTTGTGGCATCGTCGCTATATAAGCTTATTGAGGAGAAATTATTCGTTGAGATGCCTTTTTAGTTCTAACTTGTAGTATTGATGCCTTGTGAATGTAGATAAAGAACATGGAACTGATTTTATTATAGTGTTCTGCTTCGTGTTGAAATCCAAGATATCTAAGTGTTATGGAGTAGTTTTTTATTTGACATAAATGTTTCTGATATTATCGCCTTTCTGCTCATTTTATTTCCCTACGCAATATAGTTGAAACGTCAAGCAAGATTACGTAGAGAATTCATCTATAAAAGGTCTATTGAAGTTCGGGATGCTGAAGACGAAAAGAAGAAAAAACTGTTGAAAGCTGCCTTAGCTGAGGGAAAATCCTTACCTAAAGAAATCCAGAAGGATGCATTACAGTTAAATGAAGAGCTAGATTGGAGTGATGATGGTGGGGAAGGTATGTCATTTAGTTTCACCTTTCACCTTTTTTGTAAGGAGTTGCTACTAACCAAGATGATGAGTATTTTTGGGCTGGGACTGAAGATCCTCGAGTTGTTGTCACAACATCACGCTCTCCTAGCTCCAAATTAAAAGAATTCGCCAAAGAAATACGTTTCCTTATTCCGAATGCAACAAAGATTAATAGAGGAAATTACCTTAATAAAGATTTATTAGAAGCTTGTTTAGCAAAACAGGTATTTTTCCTTCATTTTTGTTGTTGATTAGTTTGTTTTCACTTATAATTAATAAATATATTGTAGTGCACTTGGTGCTGTCAACAGTTTACTAGGCTCACAATAAAGACTTTTTCGATGATGAACAACAGTTTTTTTTTAGTTCATTAAGTAGATATACTTGTTGGTATTTATTCCGGTTAATTTCTACCCCAGAGTACATGATTTCACTAAAATGATCATTGAGTTGAATTAGACTGTTATAACTGAAATTTTGGTCCGAGCGACAACAACCAAAATTTTGTGATGCATCATCAAAAGTAAATGAACTGAACACCAAAGTACAATTCGAGAATTTGATTAGTCAGACGAATGATCTGGTCCCAATTTCATATGACAGTGCAGATAACTGAAATTGTGGAACTTGTAGACAATTACTTATATCTATCCATCGTAATTTAAAACACATTTTAATGGGTGAGAAGTACTTACTCTGTCAACTTCATCTTTACTTTCTACAATTACGTAGTCATATTACCTAGTCAAAGAGTATGGTTACATTGCTTACAGTAAAGCGGTTTGTAAGAGTAAGTCGATGAAGTTAAATAAACAGGACATTTTAGTCAAGACGAATGCTGTTGAATAGCTCAGTGTGCTGAAAAGTTATAGGTAGGATCCGGTTTAAAACTACTGTGGATGATACTATGCTTTCTGCAATAGTAAATACTCAAAATACAGCATTATGGAGGGCTCTATTCAAAGTTAATAATGAATGCACACAGTGAAGTTCTTCAATGCACTTCATACACTATTTTAGTATTCTTTCATGAAGAATCTTTCGTATGATTTTTTCGTCAGAATATCTTCAGTTGTTTGAGTACTAAGTGTCGAAAAATATATCATCATTGCCTAAGTTTGCCAACTACTTTACCGTTTATTATCTCTACTTTCCGTGGTTCAATTGAATCAGGTACACTGTGAATCTTAGCTGAAGGAGTATTATTATTTTATTCTTGTTGCCTTGGGCTTCAACAGCATATCTCCACTTTATCCTATTCTCTGCGGTCCTCTTTAGCTAGCCCCTTGATTGCCTGTAATTTCTCAACTCCTCCTCACACGACCTCACACTGGGACGAACCACTTGTCCTTTCCCACTTAAATTCCACTCGAGGGCCTGGCACGCAGTCATTCGACAATTTCCTAAGCGTCTGTCCAATCCACCTCCATTTTTTCCAAAATATTTCTGGGGAGATAGGCTCTCAGTCAATTCGTTCCCATAGTTTCTTGTGGCTAATTCTTTCTGGCCGGTCATTCGATCTTCAATGTAGGGCGAAGGCGGCTGTTGATAAAAGTCTGCAACCTGCTAGAAATGCTTTTCGTGATGTGCCAAGTTTCAAACCCATATACAAGAACTGACTGACTTGACATTGTTGTTGAAAATTCGAATTTTGTTGTTTATGATGAATGCAGAAGACTTCCAAACTGATTTCAGAGTGATGAAGGCGTATCTTGTCTTTCCGATTCTCGTTCTGATATCCACATCCGTGCTGTCACCTATAGTTGAAACGATAGTGTCTAGATAAGTGGTGGGAGTGACCTCACTCAATTTCTCCGGTTGATAGTGATTGGTGCTGTTGGTTGATTATCATCATCACCTCCGTCTTCTCTATGTTCATCTGGAGTCCTGTCTTCGCTGCCTACCTGCATCTTCAGCCAGTTTGTTGGTTTCCGCCTGCAAGTCTTGGAGTTTGTGTGACACTGAACATAAATCATCCACACGCGGAATTCAGATCTCCTGGAGTCCTATGGTCGGTGGTCCGGCGTATTCCTGTCTACTCACTCCGACGCACAGTCTGACGCATAATCCAGTCCACCACAATTAGCAATATCCTTGGTGATAATATGCAGCCGGTTTGTCCTACTCCTGTGTGCACTTCGAACGCCTTTCTTAGTTTTCCGTTGTGAATCACTTGACATGTGCCACTGTCACATAGTTCTTGAAGAGGGTTGATAAAGATTTGGGGCACTGCATTGTGTTGAAGTAGTTTGCAAATTACTTCGTGGTCAACACTGTCGAAGGCCTTTCCGAAGTCGATGAAGGTGAGATAGAGAGAGGGCTGACTGTTATTCTATTCTCTGTTCGATGATGATGACTATGCATAGAGTTGTCATTTGATCAGTACATGATTTGCCTTTCGTGAATCCAGCTTGTTGTGGTCGGTGGGGCTGGCGGTGTTTTGTATCCAGTGCATCTTATATTCTCTCTGGAATAATGGAACCTAGTATTTTACTTGGTGTGGACGAGAGGATGATTCCACTCCAGTTGTTGCAGAGGCCTAAGTCGGCCTTCTTTGGCAGTTTGACGAAGCAGCCTTTCTTGCAGTCACTAGGCACCTTCCCTTCCTTCCAAACTCTTTACAATTGTGGTGTGAGTGTATGTGTTGCAGTCTCTGCGTCCTTTGTCAGCGCGTCAGGGAGAATTCTATCTGCTTTTGGTGCCTCCCCGGCCGAAGTTCAGCATTTTGATGGCATTTAGGATTTCTGCTTTCGTTGGAGGATTGGTGTCCACTGGTAGGTAGTTCTGTGATTTCTGTTGGTGGTAGTGGTATATCTGGGTGAGTTGTAGATGATGGTCGATTCAGGAGTCGTTTGAAGTGATGAGTCCGTTGTTTTATTCGTTTCCCCTGACCATCTCATATAGGTTTCACCTGTGTTGACTTCTTGCCTGATAGAGACCTGCATATCTGATATGATGTTCTCAAATCTACTTTACTTGCGGTCTGCCTGTCCTCCTTCAGTTGCCAGCCAGTGTGTTGTAGAATTGTCTTTTGTCCTTCCTAGCACTCTTCTTCACGTCTTTCTTGATTCAGTGCGATGTACACTGAACTCAGATTCTCCTTGTGTTGTCCATCTTTGCATTGAGTCATCTTCTCTTTCACCATCCTCCTCTCCTCACCTCTCTTCTATTGGCTTCTGGGTAGGTGTCCGTAGAGAGCCGTGTCTTTTCTTCCGAAAACCGTGTTACATGTTTCCGGGAGTGTCGCCCTCAGAGAGTTCCCATATCATTCCACGTAGGTTTCCTCGGTAACACAACGTACTGTCTCCGACTTCTCTGTGATATTCGTAGTGAAGACATCCCTTGTAGTTTCATCTTTCAGTTTCTGAATGCTGAATTGGAACTTTCGCCTGTCTCCAGTTGTTTTGAGGGATTTCAGCTTCACTATGAGGCTTCCTTGCACTAGATTCTGGTCTCGACTCACATCTGTCTCCACTTTCTTGAGCAGCGTTGAGATGATGTCTGTCTGGTTTGTGGTCTGTCCGTCAGGTGAAATCCATGATGCTTTGTTGATGTCCTTGTGGTTGTACACGCTGCTTCCAGTCACCGAATCATTGAAGGCACAGAAGCCTGAGAAGAGTTCTCCGTTGTCATTCATTTCTCCGAGCGGGAGAGCCTGTCGACCCATGATGAGTTCTCTTCGTGTATTGTCTGCTCCCAGTTCTGCTGACATTCATATCGTCCATTAGGACTTTGATGTGTCGATTCGGGATGTTGTCCATCACTGTTTTCAGTTGCTTGTTGATATCTTCCTCCTCCTATTGTTCCGAGTTGTTTGTAGGACTGTGAGTAGTATTGGATGATTGTAAGCTTTCTCTCTGCCGTCATTCCCTTCTTATTTCCCTCCCTTTTTTTCCAGTTGAATCTTGCTATCATTAGGCTTCAGGAGGAGATTGTTTCCCACTGCCTTCGAGCTTTGGCTGGTGTTTGTGACATCATGATATCTTGTTGTTGTCGTCTGGGTGACCAGCCTGAAGTATTTTACTGAGTCTCCAGTTAACAATTTCGATAGTCCAAATTCATTTCACGTGCTCTCTCAGATTCCGAACAGCTTTCTACCGTGTCTGGTTACCTGGGCAGCCTTCCCAGCCATCATCATATATTGTACGGACGTTCGACGTTCCCATTCTTGTTCTTGCTTTCATCGAGTGGAGACACATTGGCTTGGTGACTGGCTTCGAGAAGTCCTTCACCCGTCCTTTGTGTTATATAGCCTCTCGGATTCCAGCACAGAATAATTTTCAAATTTTTTTTGTATTCTTAATGTATTTTTTGTGCGTTGAAGTTTGTGTATCGATTGGATTGATTTTGTGGTGTAGGGTCGCTAGTCCGACGCCTAAACTGTCTTTTTTCTTTGGCCTGGTACCGGCTGGAAAACTGGCATGCTAGTAAACTTGACGAGGTTGGCTTGTGGAGTAGTATAAAGTCATAGGAAAAGTCTGAGAACAACTCTTTAATCGTCTGCAAAACTTTAGAAATCTTGTGCGCATTATGTTTCGATCATAATCAATACTCATCCTTTTCTTTCCTTTCTTGAAAATGAGTTTATATATATATATATATATATATATATATATATACGGCTGCAAATTGTTCCAGTCAGTACTGAGAAATTTTCATTTGCATATCGAAGATCGCCATCATTATTTTAATTTAAGTGTAGGAGTTCAACTAACTGGTGATTGCTGTTTGATGTTCACCGATGAATTCGTCGGTGGTCGAGTAGTAAGCCTGATTTGCGGAATAAATATATAGAATCTTCTTTCATTAGTTTCGTCATTAGGAAATGTACGACTGAGTCTTATATCTAATAATTTTTCGTGTTTTATTTTTGATTCATATGTACATAAAATTATGTGAATTCTCTACATAATTTCAAAATATTTAGTTTCCGCGCCCAATTACTTTACCAGGTCGTTAGAGAGTATTATTAATCCTTTGGTAATCTTTATCTCTTTGTGAATGGCAGATCACGGATGTAGTTATTGTCAATGAATCAAGAGGTGTTCCAGACACCTTGATTATTAGTCACCTACCGTTTGGTCCAACTGCTATTTTCACTTTGTTTAATGTACGTACACGTCATGATATGGAGACTATGGGATGTGGATCAGGCGCTAAAATGCCACAATCTTATCCTAACCATATCTTCAAAGGACTCAATTCTAAACTGGGTCAGCGTGTTCGGTGTATCCTGAAGCATCTATTCCCAGTACCAAAGGATGATTCGAAACGTGTGGTTACATGGTATGAAGAAGCAGATGTCATATGTTTTCGGTAAGAATTATTATTGTATCATTGATATAAGAATAAAACTTATGCACTGTGGTAGAGTGTAATTCCATTATGGGTAAATTTTATTTTGATAGTCTCACAGTGTTATACAGTAATATTTACTGATGACGTTTCGAGCACAATTTATTGCTCATAATCATATCAAGTTAATCACACGACTTCCTAAATTCATTTATATAGTTCCATTGTTTTTCACTTGATTTGATTGGTAGTATTATTTTCCATATTTCAGGTATGAGTGATGATTCATTCCTATTGCATGTGTTGGGTGTAGATTCAATGAACAAAGATTCAGTAATCGACCTCTCTCTCCACCTACCTAGATTACTTTTTAGAATTTTAACCCTCTCCCACCCTATTGTGTGGTTGTGTGTTAATGCATGCATTGCGATTACCGAGCTTTTTTCTAAATTACTTATCTTCTCTGGGTCAACCATTCTTACCTTAGCTAATTTCTTATGTTCTGACAATCTGACTACCCCTGACCTACTAGTTTGACCTATGTAGTTGACCTCACAGTCATTGCAAGGTATTTTGTAAATTATATTATTTTGTCTAATTGGGTCCACTGGATCCTTTAACCTACAGAGCTTGTCCCTGAGTGAGTTTTTAGGTTTAAATGCCACCCTAATTCCTGCTTTATTGAGAATCCTACGTAGGGTCTCAGATGTCCCCTCCTTATATGGTATAACAGTAGAAGATTTATATTCTTTCTTATTTATGTTATTACTACTAGTTACATAATTATTTTTATTTAGTTTTTGGCCTTTACTGATCTTCCTAATGAATTTTATAGGATAGTTATTTAACACCAACGCTTCTTCTATCTGTTTTATTTCGTCATTCAGGTCCTTTTTTGTGCTACTTAGTGCTATGGCTCGATTTGTCAGACACTTCACTAAGCCTGCCTTAACAGTTAAAGGATGAGACGAATTAAAGTCTAAATATCTATGAGAATGCGTTGGTTTTCTATAAACACTAGTGTGTAGTTTGCCTTCTTCTATTCGTTTTATTTTACAATCTAACATAGCTAATTCTCCTTTCTCATTTTCGGTTTCAAATGTGAATTTTATTCCCTCCACTAGTGAGTTTATGTGTGTCAAGAAGCTAGAGATATGTTCTGTTTTTAACACTGTGAAAGTGTCATCCACATATCTCCACCATATTTTTGGAGTAGGATTAAATTGTGCTCGAAACGTCATCAGTAAATATTACTGTATAACACTGTGAGACTCTATCAAAATAAAATTTACCCATAATGGAATTATTATTGTAACCAGTACTAGATTTCTTTTTAACATATTGTTTATTAAAAGAATTCTATAGTAAATAAACTACTCCGAGTGCTTTTCAAATTGAGTTAATTTAATGTATAAGATGAATCGTTGTTAATGGCTCAGATACATTCACTCTTCTTTATAATATCCTACATTCATTAAACTGTTATGTTTTCCATGTTACTATTCTTTATCCCTAACATTTTTGCATATTTTATAGTTCTTTTGAATCTGTTTTTCTCATACCTTTTTGCGCTATATGGAGTATGTGGCAACTGGAACTGCTACATCTCTATGCTAAGTTGTAAGTTGAAACTCACTAACTCATTCAGGTGGTTTTTGCATTACAGTAGAACTGCGGTCGTTCATTATAATCCCACTCTGCTTCTGTACATATAGAGTTATCTTATGAAACAACACTACTATCGATACTAATTCTAACAAATAATTTTGTGGGTTATAGCGAAGCGTGATATACTAGAGGAAAACCTGTGTTCCTAGTTGGAATTTTCACTACCGTTAAGGTCAATGCGTACGAGTATCAATAGGGAACTGTCATTCACCAAATCCCCAACCGCATATACAAGCAGTCTTCAGATTCTGGAGTTATTAGTTTGATATAATTGATGTGTAACAGTTAACATATGTGAGTGTTCGTTTGCAGATTTCGTAAATATATTAACCGTTAGCAAAATAAATGTTAGTAAGCTTCTAGTGTCATACGTTTCGATTGTATGATTATGTTAATGCAGATTGGTACCACAAACAAACATTACCCAGTCCCTATTGGGTAATACTACTGCAGACGTGATATCCGGCTATCGACCAAAGCAGTCCGCTCCGCCCTCCTTTATGGCTGTGAGACGTGGCCATTGAGAGTGAAGACATGAAAAGGCTAGCTGTCTTTGACCACTGGTGCCTGCGTTCTATCTCCCGTGTGAAACGTATAATAGGGTGAGCAATATTAAGGTTAGGCGTCGAGTGCTAGGTAAAGAGGGGAAATCAATAGACTAGACCGTGAAGTTATATCGATTAAGATGGTTAGGACATGTGTTACGCATGCATGCCTAGCCATCGATCGCCTTCCTCGACAATGGGCAATGTTAGCTGACATAGGATGGATCAGGTTGGAAAAGAGTTAGCTAGTGCTGGTCAAACCAAAACATGGCCTCATCAGTCAATGAAATCCATAACAGTCAGTTTAATCCAGCCATCCAGCCACATAGGGAGATGTAGACTTCCTAGTTGGGGTCCCGGGGACGGTAAACACCAATGGCTGGAGACAATTCGTGATATGGCTCGAAATCGTTCTGATTAGCTGGTGCAGATGCATCCACTCCTTGTGACTTAAAATTTCCGATAAAACTATGTTGATCTTCGATATTACTATTCTTTTTACCTCATATCTCTGTTTACTGTCTCTATTTTGCGTTTCTTCTTCTCCTCTGGCTTTGTGTGCTAAGTGAAGTGTGGCGACTCAAACTGCTGCACATCGGTGCGAAGTTCTCTGTTGAAACCAGTCAGCAGTACTACTGTGGAAATTATAGTATATTTCAAAGTACTCAGTAGACTTTCTGTGTTGGCAAAAAAATTTGTTTGACAACATTTTAAAGTTCTGTGGTATTGACAGGGTTATCATGAAGCTTCATTCAACTTTGATTAGAAATTATCTGTTAGCCCACTTTGGTCTTGTTCGAGCAAGGATATAAGTTATCGCAAAGCAGATTTGTCTTGCTTTCGTTTCAATATACGTGAATAAGTAGAATGGAGGTGGCCGATTACAATTTGAATTTCCCCAGGCAGTTGGTTATATGTGATTTTGTATTTTGTGCTTAGAGAAATGCCGTAATCATATCAGATGTTACGTTTGGCCGGTTGAACGGTGATTTATAAATATTTTTTACACAGCTGGAGTATGTATTGTGGCGTTTGCAGGGCTATGTGCAAAAACACCGCGTTGGTTTTCATCCTCACCCTTTTGTTTTGGGTAGCAAAGGTCACAATTGCACTGCTTAGGAAACAAATACACATGCACTATCAAAGCTTGTTTAATTATGCGGGCTACGATTTTAAAGAATTTATTATGAAGTCATGATGTCAATGAATTGTCCTTTAAATGGTATCTGGTAAAAGCTAAGGAAATATTACAGTATGCTACAATGTTCCAGTGCTGTCTTCATATTGTTTGAATATTGAGTAAAATTCGTTTTCATTGCATATGAATGTTTCTTCTCTAAAACAATAAGTGTCCTTTATGAATTTCTAAATGACATGACGAGGCAACTACGTCTTCCTAGTGTTTTGTTGAAAGTACTAATAATCATGTAGTGTTAGATATAGTATTTATATCATCCACTCACGTATCCTTTACCCTCCTCTGTGACTAAATTTTGTACTAGGATTTAAGCATATATATATATGTATATATATATATTACTTTACAAAGTTCTACAGAGTGTTAAATAACTATTATTTCAGTTAGTTTTCGTAGATGAAAGCGTTTGTGATTTTGCAGTTCAACTTTTATCATTATCAAGGGTTGATTTGTTTTTCGAATTTGACCACTGAAAATCAGGGAGTACTGCACAGTTGTTTCGTCCTAGTTTGGGAATCATCGACAGTACGCACCCACCGGGGTTCGAACCCCGGACCTTCCGGTAACAAGGCAAGCTCGTATACCATTCAGACACTTCTAACTTCTACCAGTTTGTGATTTTGAGGGCGATCACCACCCAATGTCATCGATGGGAAATCCATTCCTACTCCCGACTGAATGCAACTCACTGGTCACGACTTCTCACTAGAACTCCAGGAAACTCCGTCCTGTAGCAAGTCACTAGCGAGCATCCGGTTAATTTCCAAGAGTTTGATTTGTTTTTCGAATTTGACCACGGATTGATTTCAGCTAGAGAACCATTATGTTTAATATGTATTTGAATGGGGAAATATTCTTCCTCAATCCCTCTCCGCTTATATAACAACTAACCTCAGATATACTGTTTTTGTAGAATTGTTGAGTTGTGTTTCCTTTATCACTTGCTTAACATTCAACCTTCCCTTTCCTCTGGACTTACCGCCGACTAGTAAACTAAGCAAGGTTGTGTTGACCGGAAGCTGAAGCCAGGCCCTCCATGTGCGCGGCAAGCACGTTATTAGTGAACCACCAAGGCACTGAAATAAGTACTTCATTAGAATAAGTATTAAAGCTTCAATTTTCAAATTGTTGTTTAACTGTAGTTCAGAGAATTCAAGACCCCTAAAACCAAATGTCTAGTGCTTAAAATTTAATCTAATAATCTTGTATTCGTGTATGTATGAAATTATGAACCACATCAAGTTTGATAGCACTACCTGATTATGTATATCGAAATAGATTGAAATGAAAAGTTTCACCGATTAAAACTTATATGTCTGTACTGCTGTGCCAGAGTTTCATCCTAGACTCTTAACAACACTGGATTATGACCTGCATTGCAAATGAAATTCACTCTATGGTTCACAGTAAAGTCAAAATGCATCTTCTTCCATGAAATAATTCAAGCTTTTCTTAAATTTTCATCCCTTTCTGCCCTCTTTTCCTTTTATCCTCTTTCTCTGTTAGGCGTTCTATTTCTTTGTACTATAACAACTATTCTTCCGTATTCTTTCTTAGAATATACTGGCAAAATCGCACTGTAACTTGCCATCTGTTTCAACGATACACCAAGTATTACCTTTTTTCTATTGTCGTGAACACTGGTCTAGTTACTTGACTTGATGCTAATACTAATAGCATATACTTTGAAAAATCACATTCTCAACCCCACTTTACATGCAATAGATGTGGCTTACGTTTAGTACGTGGCTGATAACGTGTATCCCTAAAGCTGATGAGTAGGGTTTTCATTTGAAGTATAGTTGGGATTGATATTTTTGTTTTCCTTTCTTCATTATATATATATATATATATATATATATATATATATATATATATAAGCATTATTTTCAACACATTTTTTGTCAAGGCATCACACGTTTAAGTATGTGGACAAAAAGTTGGAGCTAACTGAACACGGTCCATCATTCGATATGCGGTGTAAGTATACTTATTCCATTATTTGTACTTATTAATCTTACTTTTGGGTAATATATATTTTTAAAAGAAAATTGATCAAAAAAATATCCTGTGTGGTTGAGTAAAAGACAAATAAAATCTATTCATGGCGCTATTCTATCTCATCTTGTGGATACAGAACACAAGATAGATGTTAATGAAACTTTCAAAGTCATCTACCGTATACCAACTAATCTTAAATTCACCTTACGAGTTCGTCTACTACATATTGCTAAGGCTGTTGGGATCTACATTAAGAAGCCTAACCTATGTATCCAAAAAATCTGGTTCAGACACTGTCCTCACCTTAGCTATTAGGGTGTTAATGATCTTCAATTTGTTGTGGAAATTTCCTTAATTTTATTCGATATTCTATTCGCTGTTACATTTTTATGCTTATTATAACTTCAGCGTCTTTCTTGAACTGTAATTTCACCGATCTTAACAAATCGACAGTATTTAAAAACACCAATTATTGTTAAAGATGACTATTCTAGAATGTTCGATGTATAAAAACGTATATATATATATATATATATATATATTAGTCGTATCTCGTTCAGCGCTGTTTTGTCATTCACACTTGTCTATTACTGTACTTCATGTATTAGTTGACATCTAATAGCATTCATCAATGCCATTTAAAATCCACCGTTTGGAGGAGGCTTTGATGAATTTCTTAAAATTAGTGGAACAGTATCTCGACATGTAATTAGGAGTTGTACTGTCTTAATGTCAAATAATGTCAGTGTATGGCTTACTGTCTAGAACATTATCCATACTTAGATAATCCACAATTAAAGGTAATTGCAAACACAAGTGCTTTTAATCACCGCTGTGTTTTTCTTCAAATATCATCAGTTATCAGCTGTCTTGCTGTGTCAAATCTCATAATTTTGTGTCAATGTAATGTTGTTCACTATTATCAGTGTTTGCACATTCTTGCCCTCAAAGAACCTAGTCCTGTAACTATTATGTAGTTCAAATTGATGAGTATAAATTGAATATTATGAAGAGTTCTTTTGATTGTTTTCATTTTGTTATTTAGCTGAATTATTTCATCAGTGCCTGGATGAATATTGCAGTAGTCACTGATTTTACATAGTTTGCTACTAACATAGATTGACCTATCTACCTGTGTTTTGGTTTTTAGTCGAAATCTGCTACAGATTTGTAAAATAACCTCATGCATGCTTGTTTGCTTAGTGAAGTTGTTAGGTTTGTGTTCACCCACAGCTAAATATTGATGACTGGGAAACACTAGTTAGTTTCCTTTAATGAGTAGAGTTTCCCATTACTGATTTTAACTAGACTCGACCAATTCTCATAAATTACGACAAGACGAGAGATTTAACTACTTGTTTAGATGCACAACTGTGGCTTCTCATCATTATGAATTGATTCAATTGTCTCAGTAATACAGCAAATGAAGATGGTAGACCTTTCACAATTTTTGGTTGGATTTTGTAAGTTACGCCGAACAAGGTCTTCTCAGTTGAATAGTCCGAATCACTCACATTTTTAAAAACAGGCAATTTAATTAATTTCCATTGTTGCTTTAAAAAAAACCTTCCTTTTGACATAGTTTTTTTTTAATTTTAAGCTGGTAAATGTTTAAATATCTTTCCCTTGTAACGTTTTACTTCCAGTATATAAAATTTGGCGTGGACCATTGCATGAAGAATCCACAGCAGACATTGAATGGGTCTACCGGCCGTATATGACTACCACATTCAAAAGACACTTTCTTTCTGAAGAAACAACTTCATAATATGTATATTATCTTGTATATAAAATAAAAAATATCTTTGAATAAACTAATTGCGTTATTTTCTTTATTTCTGTTAAAAAACTCGGTTGGAAATAATATTTATTAACTAAGTCGTTGTAAGCTATTGCAACTTCCTTCACAAATTTAGTGTGCACGAATAAAATGTTAATCTTCGCTAAGGGGTTGGTTACACCCAGTGAATAATGCTGTTAAGTGTGTAAAATATGTGGTAAAACGTGTTATTATGTCGGGTGTATTTATATTAAAATACAATCATTTGCTTCTTATCCTCGTAAAGTTGTAGCAATACTCCACTGGAGCCCTTTTAGCGCAAGATGCTTTTTGTGTCTCGAATAATTCAACAGTGGAACTGACTAGATTTCTTGAGAGGTTATATATGACTGAGTTCTGTCTTCCTTAACCGGTGTGTAGCTGTCACTGTGCATATATATAAAAGGTGCTTATTTTTATACATGATAATCATCGGAGTACTGGTACGTTACTAGTCGTATCTAAATCTCTTTCGTGATGCGTAATCCACTTTGGGTTCTGTCTAGGCCGTATTAATTCGCTGTTCAATCTCCACGAGTTCCTACGATACGCTAGATGTATTACGTCTAGGAGAATTATTCTTTTCCCAAGAAAAACTTTGAGCAGTTGTGCTATATTTTACACAACTATGGTTGAATATTTGTTCACTTCTCTGCGGGCAGTTTTTCTGATTGCGTAGCCCCTAACATATTCAGGTGGGATTTTGGAGCTGAAGATTTTCCAATTATAAGTAGGTAATTTCTTTCTAGAGTCTAGACATGTAGTTGAAGATATGGATCTCAGGAGTGAGCGGTGACTTTAACAGCAGTATCTAAGTCAAATAAACATCTCATTCTCCCCTGTTATATTTTAAAAGAGCATCGTCTTGTAGTGGTAGGTATTTCCCCAAAATTATACGCCTGCGCATTCATCACTAAACATCGGATGCTGACCCTCACTGTTTAAGTCGACTTGTTTAGCCGAAGACTCACGGTCAAGCATCCACGCTATTTAGCACGCTGTCGTGTTACTTTCGTTCATTCGTAGCTAGTTAAGCAGCTGTCCTAGCACTACGAATTTGGTCCGGAAATATACTTCGTAGTTTGAACGATCGATGTTGTTGTTCTGCTTTGTCTTTGATCTAAGCAGAACGAATACTATAGAAGTTGTGGGTATTCGATTTTGCGTCAGTACACGTCATTTTATCCGTGAATGTCAAGGACCTGAGATTGTAAAGTGGGTATGAATTAGTTGACTTTTTTGTCCACTATGTTGTAATGGGAACAGTAATTCTATTTCGAATGTTGATTTTTTGAATGGACTTGCTGATCCATTTTGGAGGGTTAAAAAACAACACAGAAATAGATTCACAGTCAGCATCCAAAAAGGAGATGCACGCTTCAGAAACCCCATTGCTATTCGATCAAGTCTAAAACATAAAGTGGGACTGAAAATATGATGTGTTGCGGTTCAAATACTGAATAATATTTATTTAATTTTGCCCTCCTAGGTATAGTCACCTGTTTTTACTGATTTTATGTACTGGAATGACATCGTATTACCTGATCATTATGCATTTTGACATTACTCTAGTTCTTGTTGTTACTAATTTATCCCAAACCGAAATGAAATCAGGATAATTGGGTCAGTTACTAGAATGTTGTATTACGTATGCGGATAACCAAAAGCATTCAGTAAAATAATATACAAAAGTCATACTGTTCCGTTAACGCTCACTTATTTTTTTCCAAGTATTCATTTGATAGGGGTAATAAACATAGACATGGACTTGAATGACTTGTGAAATTCACTGATTCAGCTTGCACCGTAGAGACTGTACCAAAAGTCCATCGCTTTAACAACGGCATCTTAGGGTCAGACATATCCACCAGGTCCAGTGGTGTGTCATCATCTGAGTTACCTATCGCGAGAAGCCATCCCATATGAAAAAACTCGCAGTTACCAGCAAACGATTTTTCTCAACAGTTCAGTGTTCTATGACCGCAAATCACTGGGTCTTTGATAGGTACTCTATAGGAGGGATTAACACCATCAAATGGTGATTACCGTTATCCACTGAATTCCAGCTATGGAGTACCGCAGGATAGTTATTGCAAGGGAATTCGCTGCACCACCAGTTAACACTGCAGAAAAGCACACACAGAAGAATTCGGCACACACGTTTACTGAATGCAGCCATTGACTTATCTCTCAAATAAAACAACTGTGGATGACACATGTTGTTGGTGAACGGGAACTTATTTGAAACTAAATTATCCTATTTTAAAAGATCACCCGCTTATATAGAATGTACAAACACAGCTGCCGACAGACAGTTGCCATCAGACAGTAGTGGTTTCCGATCAAGATAATAATGAATAATTGACCAAGTAAAGCCCTGCTATCTGATGCTTGTGAGGCGAAACTAGATAAAAAGAGATAAAAAACCTCTTGTTTGCTCTGGTAGCACAGATTACTAGTTGCGAATTGATGCGGGTGGAGGAAAGCTGTTGTTTAGGAAGACGTCAGTGATATGGGCCTCATGATGATTATTGACAGTAGCACACAGTTTCCCATCTGTTGAACCGACCTCTCACATACGAGGACAGCTTATAATTGGAAGCTGCCGCTGAAAGACATTATGCACAAACGTACTTAATACAAAAGGATTCAGCCGAAACCACAGAACGCCTCCGCACATTTACACTTATAATTTTACGCAGGTGAACACAAAATATGCACTTATTATTATTATTATTATTTCCTTTAGTTCCTAGAGGAACATAGGGCTTCAGCCATGCGTCTCCATTGCGTTCGATTCTCTGCTAGAGTTTTCACCTGGCTCCAGGTCTGCCCACATGCTTTCACCTCCTCTTCACATGATCTCCTCCAGGTCACCCTTGGACGACCAACTCGCCGCTTCCCTTTCGGGTTCCACTCGAGGGCTTGTCTAGTGATGTCACTTGATGGTTTCCTAAGAGTATGGCCAATCCATCTCCATTTCTTCCTGCCTATTTGTTTCACAATCGGTTCCTGGTTGGTTCGCTCCCAGAGATCTTTGTTGCTGATCCTTTCCGGCCATCTGATCTTGAGTATTGAGCGAAGACATCTGTTAATGAAGGTCTGTAGTTTGTTTGAGATGCTCTTTATGACGCGCAGTGCAAGTCTCTGATCCGTATAGTAGTACTGACTTCACATTGGAGTTGAAAATCCCGATTTTATTTTTGACGCTGAATGATGTTGTCCTCCACACAGACTTCAGAGTAATGAAAGCTTGCCTTGCTTTCCCGATCCTTGCTTTGATATCCTCGTCAGTTCCGCCTGTAGTTGAAACAATGCTTCCCAAGTAAGTAAAGGAGGTAGTTTCTTTCAGGTTTTTTCCATTTATGCTGATTGCTGTCTGTTGTTGTTGTTGGTGTTGGCCAGGGATCTTCATCACCTCTGTTTTTTCTATGTTCACCTGGAGTCCTATCTTTGATGCTTCTTCTGCCAACTTGTTACTTTTCACTTGCATATCTTCCAGTTTGTGGGAAATCAGGCATATATCATCGGCGAAGTCCAGATCCTCCAAGTTCTTTGTGTGAGTCCATTTTATGCCTGTTTCCTCATTGCCCGCTGTTTGTCGCATTATCCAATCTACTGCAATCAGGAAAATCATTGGCGACAGTAGGCAACCCTGTCTTACTCCTGTCTTCACTTCGAAGGATTCCGTGAGCTTCCCGTTGTGGATTACTTGGCATGCAGCGTTGTCATACAACTGTTGGATGAGATGTATAATTGTCGGCGGCATCCCGTAGTAGCGAAGTAGTTGCCAAATCACCTCTCGATCGACGCTGTCGAAGGCCTTTTCAAAGTCGATGAAGTTGAGATAGAGAGGTGACTGCCATTCCAAACTTTGTTCAATGATGATCCGTAGTGTGGCGATTTGATCAATACATGACTTGTAACTCCTGAATCCAGCTTGTTCTGGTCGAAGTTTTTCATCCAAGGCTTGTTTGATCCTTTCCAGGATGATGCGGCTTAGTATTTTGCTTGGGATGGAAAGGAGCATAATTCCGCGCCAGTTCTTGCATTGACTTAAGTCTCCTTTCTTTGGTAGTTTGAATAGGTATCCTTTCTTCCAATCCTCGGGTACTTTGCCTTCTTTCCACACCTTCTCCAGTAGTGGCGTCATCAGGTCTGCTGTTGTCTCTGGGTCGAATTTCAATGCTTCTGCTGGGATTCCATCTGGTCCTGCTGCTTTCCCAGCTTTCAGCATCTTGATTGCCTTCAGGACTTCTGATTTCGTCGGGGGGTTGATGTTCACTGGTAATTCTGCTTCCGTTGTTGGTATTGTTGGGCGCGTTGTAGGTGGCGGTCGGTTTAGTAGTCTTTTGAAGTGTTCAGCCCAGTGTTTCCTTTGCTCCACTTCTTTGGTGATTGACTTTCCGTTTTCATCCTTCACTGGCTTAATTTGTGACGAATTTTTGCCTGAAAGGTACCTAGTTGTTTGGTGAAGTGTTGCGAGGTCTCCTTTGCCTGCAGCTTGTTCTGCTTCATTGGCCATGGCTTCATAATACTTTCTTTTGTCTTCTCTGGCACTCTTCTTTACTCCTTTGTTCAGTGTATTGTAGCTTACATTCAACTCCTGTTTCTGTTGCTCGTCGGTGCACTGCAGAATTTTTTGTTTCACCATCCTTCTCTCCTCTATTAGCCTCCAAGTGTCCGTAGTGAGCCACGGTTTGTCCTGTCTCTTCTTTCTGCCCAGAACTTCCATGCAGGTTTCGCTCCATACTGTTTTCAGGTTGTTCCAGTGTTTTTCGACGCTGACCTCTTCACCAGTGTTGATTTGTGTCTCGGCTTTGTCCTTTATACTTGCAGTAAAGATGTCCTTTGTATCCTGGTCCTTTAGTTTTTGAGTGTTGAACTTGGCTTGTGGTCTATCTGCAGCTCCTGTTTCTCTGAAAGCCTTTAATTTGAGTTGGATTGTTCCTTGTACGAGGTAGTGGTCTGAGCCAACGTCTGCTCCTCTTCTTGCTTTTGTGTCCAGTAGGCTGCGCCGCCACTTCCTCGAGATTGTGATGAAGTCAATTTGGTTTTTGGTTCGCCCATCTGGTGACACCCATGTAGCCTTGTGAATATCCTTGTGTTTGTATACGCTGCCACCAATCACTAGTTCATTGAAGGCGCAGAAGTCGGCGAAGAGTTCTCCATTTTCATTCATCTCTCCCAGAGCTTCTTTACCCATGATGAGTTCCCTTCCTGTGTTGTCTGGTCCCAGTTTGGCGTTCATGTCTCCCATTAGTATTTTGATGTCACCGGCTGGAGTATTGTCTATTGCTGCCTGCAGTTGTCTGTAGAATTCTTCTTTCTTTTCGAGGTCTGCGTTGTTGGTCGGTGCATAGCATTGTATAATTGACACTTTCCTTCCTTTGGAGTTGAATCTGGCGGTTATTATCCTGGGTGAGATCGCCTCCCATTGTATCAGAGCCTTGGTTGCCGTTGGTGACATCATTATAGCCACGCCCTCGGTGTGTGTGTGGTTGTCTTCTGGGTGACCGGAGTAAATCACTGACTCACCTGTTGACAATTTGGTGAGTCCGTATCCGTTCCATCTGCTTTCGCAGATCCCCAATACTTGTAGTCCGTATCTCCTCATTTCGCTTGCGATCTGGGCAGCTTTGCTAGTCTCGTACATGGTGCGGACATTCCATGTCCCCACACAGACTTTTTCTTTTGACGCAAGGAGACTGTTCACGCTGAAGTTTCTGTAGCAGGTTTGTTTACAGGGTGGGGTTGCTGGCCTCACGCCTGAGTTTAGTCTTTGGGTACCTGAAATAGAAGAAAGGTTAGTGTTGCGTGACCGCAGAGCCCAGTAGACATCTGCTTGAGGCCGGTCACACACGGCCTGGTGTGTCTCAGTAGCGTACTTATCACTTCTGCCCTGTGACACGGCAGCAGAAAGCGCGGTCGTTGTTAATCCGGGCCACGGCCGATCCGGCACTGCAATGACAAAAAGCCGATTATTTTGATCTTGACTACCATTTGAAGTATATTCTTATATCTTATGGGGAGCAGAAAGTAGAGCAAACAAGTCACTGCAAGCTCCTAGCTATCGCTGAAGCATGGGCAATGTAACAATGGCATGAACTGTAAACTACTATAATGTAATAATGTTTTGTGTTCTAACTAATTTGAGCGACTATCTGGCGAAATTACGTCTCCGAGAGTCAACGATGAGAGAAAGCATAAATTCCCATCAAAATAAATTATCATTACTCGTTTTGTAGTAGCTGTCAAATTCACAGTAGTCGGCAGGTTTTATTCGCCGCAATGGAACTTATCAAAGATCTATTGGGATATCGAAAAATGCAAAACGGATGGCCAATTAATCAGATGTATTATATGTTTTCGCCAGAAGGATACTGGATTTAGATGAAATAAGGTGGAGTGAGACTAAACGGTCAAATTAAAGGTTGCTAAAACAATCTCTGTAACGAAAAATATGCATTTTAATTTTGTTGTTTTAATGCACTTGAAACAGCACAGAGACCTTGAGATGTAACAGCGCTTCTTTCATGACTCTAGTTAGTGCACATTTTGTGGTTTTCGAGTAATATAGGTTAAGTTTGTTCACTTTTGTTGCTGTTAGTAAATTTTTGGAAAGAAAAAATATCTGTACATTAGTGATAACAGGAGTTTGTATTTATTCGCATTTGGAACCTGAATAGTACAATTTAGTGGTTTTGTAATAGAGAACAGCAATTTATTTTCAATAGCTTTCCGAAGTTTTGAACGGATGTTTGGAAGAACTCAATGTTTTTAAAATGTAAAAACAATGGGAATTTTGAAATGGGAGCAGAATTTTTTCACAAGGCCTTCAAGTTTCTGTAGTCATTGTGATTCTGAATTTCAGATGTATTAAACACCAGTAGGGCAGTTAAACAGTCACCTAAAATTTTTCAACAATGTGCAGGGAAGTTAATGGAGTCCATCGTTGTCTGCGATAAATAAACTGATCATGAATTTAGAACAGTTTATTTTCTTAAGCCATTTGATTACTCACTACTGAGTAGTTCATATTTCTTACCAACTTTTCCCATTTACCTTTGATGTCATCCACCACAAAGGCTTTCAGTCAGCCTACATAGTCGCTCCGTTAGAAGATAGTGACTTTCATCCTTCTCAGCGAAGTTATTTCCGATTTTTTTAGATATACTTAATTTTGGTTGCTCATTATCAAAATTCTTTGTAACGCTTTTACGGCACCAGGTTTCTTCATGATTATATTTGCTGTCATGCTGAGGTAAATTTCTATCGACTTCTTATATACAAACTTAATGTTTGCACCTACAAACCAAGCAGTTCATGATTTCTCTGATGCTTTATTTCTGTGTTTATGCAGGTGTAAAGATACACATGCTTTGTCAAAACGATAATTGAAATCAAGCAGATGTTAAAGCCTAGCATTTAGAAAATTAGGCCGTTACAGTTGAAATTGGCGCTAACCTGAAAAAAAACAGTTACCGAAATGTGACTGAGAGGCTATTGAGATGTTTTTTGGCATAGAAATTATTCGCATTTTAGACTAATTCAGTCTCCTCATCTGAACATTAAAATGTGGCTAGGAATTACAAAGAAAATGTTGTTCATTATACTTGGCGTAACCAGCCTATAGTAATATTAATTTTACCCACTATTTAGCTACAGCTAAAATGGGATGCAGACGGCGTCCTTTCGACCAGTTGAAACATTTAAGAGACTAGTCAAACATCATTTCCCTCGATGAGCAATTCTGGATTAGGTTGAAGGAATTAGAAGTAATCAGACTAAAATTCGGCATGAATTCTCGATGTTTTTGTTGGTTTGAGACACGTAGAGAGATGTAGGCAAGCTGGATGGAGTCTCTGTGACACTAGTGGGAAACTGTAGAAATTAGTGGATGGGGACTGTCGCTGGCACGTCTCGAAGTTATTTTCACTGGCATGGATGCATTCTTTCGCTTCAATCTTCATGTTTCTCATTGACATTTTCTCTCTTACATTTCCCCCTATTTATTTTTTTATTTTATATTTTTATTATCCTTCACATTCCCCAGTGGAACATAGGGCTTCAAGCTAGTGGCTTGAAGTTTCTGTAGCAGTGTTTATTTTTACAGGATGGGGTTGCTAGCCTCATGCCCAACCTTCCTTCTTCACCAGCATTATTTCCGGCTTAGCGAGGTTCAGGAGTGCGTCGGCCAGGGTTCGAACCCCGGACCATGTGCATGGTCGGCGAGCGTCCTAACCGCTATGCCACCGACGCACTTCCCCCTATTTAAGTTTCCATCTACTTCGTTTTCTCACTTTCATATGCGTTTTTCTGAATTGTCGCAAGTTGGACAGCTACACTTTTGTTCGAAGTTTTACGTAGAAAACTTCGTTCAGTTCACGAGTGTTTCTCGCAGTTTATCTAAATTTTCAAAAGTTGTCGTTCATCTTACATAAGGTAAAAGACCAGGACCTGGTGTTTTGAATTCAGATGTTTTCCGTGATAGTGGCGAACTGTTGATTAGATTAAATATAGATCAGATTACTGTAAACCACTGATCATTTTAGTTTATAAGAATTAAAGAAATTGATGATACAAAGAGTTTAGGAGTTATAGACTGTAGTCGTATCCATCCAACTTATTTTGCTAGGTAAACTGATATGGAGGATAACAATGAAGTTCGATCTCAGAGTGTTAGGTATGAAGCATAAGGTAATCGATGATGTGAATTTCCATCGATTGGAATGGCTTAATAATGTGTTACGCATTCCGAGTCAACACTTTCCTTGATTAGTCATAATGACAGCAATAGAATTACTTTGGGAAAAGGTTAGGGGCCGTCAAAATAAAACATGGGATTAATTCGTGACTGTTCGTTTGAACTGTATAGTGAGATGTGTTTTGTATAACTCTGTAGGTGTCTGGGGGATGTTGGAGATCAGTGGTTGGCTCCTGCTAGCAAAACAGTTTAGAAAAGATTATTATGGTGAAAATGTATTCATTCCTTGTTGTCATCTAGATTCTGGTACTCCCCACTGATCTTCTAATCATTATCCATTCTGTTTACCCATTGCAGTTTCATGGCATTCGTTTTCTTTACATTTGCGCGTGCGTTTGAAGCGTGCAAACTTCTAATAATATATTTGCGTGAAAAGTGCTGAAGCAGTTTGTAGTCAGTTGGGAAATCTATTGAGCCAGTAGAGTTTCTTTTTCGTTACATAGTAAGCAAGGAGATTTTTTGAGGATGTTTTGGACAATTGGCATACAATATATCGCTGTCATTTTTGCTTTTGGGTATCTTTTCGATTAATCTACAATTTTTAACATAATAGACAATATACCCTTGCATATTTTACTTCTAAACATTGTGCATTTAACGTGTCATTTTATATTTCAGATATCAGTTTTATTCCTAACAAAACAAGAGTTTACTTATCCGAATTTTTCTCAAATTCCAGACTTGTGAATGATAGTTATACGTAAATGGGGTTTTTGGAAAAAATTAATATTTACGAATGCCTCATACTGATTGGTGTATATTCATTTGGTCTTTTTGTATTTATGAATGGTTTACTTCCCAACGACCCTGTGGTAAAAGTTGGTAAGGGTAAGTTCAGTGATATCTTTGTTTATAAAATTGCTGTAGTTAATCAGTTAGAAGAAATTAAGAAGGTTGATAAACTGGTTCTAATGGTCATTGACGCATTAAGAGCAGACTTTCTGTTTTCATCGAATTACTCTGGACATTGGACCAAACTTAACTCTTATATGAATCTTGAGTCAGCTACATGCTCAATTTCAATTGTACAGCCTCCTACAGTTACTCTACCTAGAATAAAGGTTAGTTCAATAAAAAACTTGAAACTAAAGCAACCAGGCAATTGTTTCAGGACGAGCTCCCAAATTTGTTGATGTTCTGAATAATATTAATGCAGGAGCAATGGTTGATGACAACTGGGTCAATCGTTTGGTGAAACTTCAATGGAATCTTAGATTTTATGGAGATGATACTTGGATAAAACTTTTCCCAAAAAGCTTCCAGGATTACGATGGAACAAATTCATTCTATGTCAATGATTTTCACGAAGTAAAATTGTTTGCAACTTGGATATTTTCAACTTTCTAGGTAGACAACAATGTGACACGTCATATTTCAACGTTGATGAATTCGTCATCTATGTGGGATGGTCTTATTTTGCATTACTTGGGATTAGATCATATCGGACACACTCAAGGACCTAATGGACGTAGTGTGCCAGATAAAATCCGTGAAATGGATGAAGTTGTTCACAGTATTCTTGACCCAATGGTTTGTCATGTGTTTATTTTTCGTTTAAGCGTGATTCTTTTAATCTATCTTATTACTGGGGAAAACAAAGTTATGTCTTATCGGCAAGTGTGAAAGTGTTTGATAGTTTATTTTAAACGAAACAGCCTTGAAATGTCCATTTTTGTCTTGCTTTAGAATTTCTTAATATTATGCATTCATCATTTAATACAGGATGTTGTACAGGACTATTGGGTGTCACAGAGTGGATGGCTAACTATAGTCTCAGAAATCTAGACCATTAACTTTCTAAGATAAACTAAAGCATCTATATCCAGAAGTGTCTTCTGTCTTTTGTTCTCTAACTCGATGAAAACCCCAAAGCAATAAGAGATTTTTAAATAATACACCTTTTATTTTGCTTTCGGATATTAGGAGGAGTCAGCAGGGAGTCGTGAACGTAGGTTTTGTGTTGATATGGCATTTCATCAACTGAGGAGCAATATATATATATATAATTTTCACATATACCCTTTTATGAAATTCATAATATACGGATTTGAATCTTTGGGAAATCAGTAGATAAGAAGTAGACTCTGAATTCACTACATAAATACTCTTGATAATTGTGGGGCGAAAATAGTAAAAGTATTCTTTTATTTTTATCAACAAAATAAGGCAAATGTATTTTTAATATCGTATTTTATAGAAGCCTAGAAAATTAATGCACATTTGCGCGTAACTAAATATGATGCAGTAAAATAATGTTATTTTTCTTGTTGTGTTCACTATCGTTAATATCTTGTACTGGTGGTGCATCTTTGTTGTTTTTTTCAACTGTAGTGAATATTTCAGGTTTACATTTGACTATTGTGTTTGAGATTTCAATTGAGCAGCTAAAAAAATCAATCGATAATAGATTTAATAGGTTTAAATATATGTTGCATACTCTAATTGATAACAAAATCTAAAAATGCTTGTGGGGAAGAAGAGATTCTTTACTGTGCATGTGATTGATAAGAAATCTAGTAGCATATCAATTATTTCCTTTTTTAGGGTTTATTAATTTCGAAAACGATGAGTAAAAGATAGTGGCTGTTACACAAACTGAAATTTTAATGATATTTTCTTTCATAACAAACTTTGATGTCATGATTTTCAAATCACTCTTCGGATTTATCAATGCGTTGACATTGCTAGATATACTGTGTTGAGGAATCTCTTCCCCTCAGAATTTTCCCAGATGTCGCAGTACAATTAATAAAGAGGTTTTGCAAATGAGGTAAAATGCTTTATATCGACAGAAACGATAAAAATTAATTTTTAAGCCTTAACGAAAACCTCGATACACACTTAAATTCGTGCATTGTTAGTAAACGCGTTTTACACGGAATGAAACACGTGTATTAGATCCCACTGTTGGCCTATATGAAACATTATAATTTATGACAATATGCATAATGCCCTCAACATTTACCAGCATAAGTTGTTCGTCCCTTAATGCTTAAAGTATCAGTAGTAAAACGTGGTGTTGAAATAAAAATAAACCGATAAATGCTTAGTGATATTCAGGCGTGTAGTTCTTATCAGTGGAGAGGCCTCACGGTCCTCCCTTTAAAATTTGTGTGCGTCGGTGACACAGCGGTTAGGACGCTCACCGACCATGCACATGTTCCGTGGTTCGATCCCCGGCCGACTCACACCTGATATCAATGGTCGGCCTGCTAAATTCGGTCTACCGATATCATATGCTGAAAGATCCATACCTGTGCCGAAATACTGTGTGGAGTCAAGCTATAATAAAAAAATTATGTATTCTGTAGTTAGTTGTACTTTCAATACATTTTTCCTTTACAGATAAACTCTCCAGCATTTGTTGATAAGAAATGGTTGTTTATTTTAACCGGTGATCATGGAATGAGTGATCAAGGAAGTCATGGTGGTTCCACAATAGGTGAAAAGTCTGTTGGCCTTTTCATGCTTGGATCTAACTGGAACAAGACTGATAAATCTTCAAAAAAGGTATTCAAAAAGTTTGTATGCTTAAAAATTGTTAATTCTATCTGGTTCTATCGAATATTTATCAGAGATGGTTTATGAACTGACTGATTGTCTAGAGCAGAAAGGAATGACATTTTATTACTTGTTACACATTAGAATAGGCCTTAGAAAGGAACTCAATTAATCGGCATATGCTTTAATATGAAATGAACTCATCTGAATTGTCCTCATATCATTTATGCAGAATTCAAATAAGTTCACTTGATATTAAAGCTTGTGCTGAAAATGTTGTCTGAAAAGACAACAAAGGCTTTGCAATTAAATCAACTAGCTCATACAACATAACCATATCAAAATTTTATCATTATTAATTATTAGATTCAATCAATGCATTGATCATCTTTACTGCAGATCACATATTACACAGAATTGTATTACAGTTTTCTCAATTTCGAGCCATTAATTATTGAGTCAAATTTTCTAATTTCGTCCCACGTAATTCGACGTGTATGCCTGGATAGTTTCTTGAGCATTATAATTTGTAACCAGGTCCAGGGTAGTGGAGTGCTTTTAAAGACTGTCTAGTGCTTTTGGAATACAACGCTGTGAAATACATGATGTGGAAATATTAGTTTTTGGAATGCATTTTCTTTACCTCTAGATCATTCTGTGTTGAAGCTTTGCTTGAAGACCCTGGAGAGTACTAGTTTTATGTCTTAGTTTTTGCCTTTCATGTAGCTGGTTTGATAAGTGCTGATGTTAACAAGGCACACGTAAAGTGATCTCTTAGGGTTCACCAACTTACGTCCCCGTGGAAAGCCATGAAATGCCTGTTGATTGTCGTGAATTCCCCTGCCTATACAGCACTGCTCATATTTGATGAGTAGACAATCCTGATTTCACATATATTGTCGGAAGTTTAAGAAGAGATACGAGTGCGTAGCCACTATCAACTTTATCTTATGATGTAAAAGACCTCTCATATTGACTAATTAGTTTATGAAATTAGGTTATCCTAATTGGGATTCGCAAGGCATTCAGAATTGGTGAATGCAGATTCAAGGTGATACTTTTCTTAGAGGTACATCTACAGTATTCGTTTTTTCCTTTGATAACCGTCATATATATATGTATATATAATATTCATTTGTTTGTTTTCCCTCTTGTTGAATTCTGTTTCCTAAGCTATTGTTGAACTTTTCGTCTTAGATGGTTAAACAAAAGGCTACTCATTTTCCTTATATCTTTCTGACTCTCTACTATTATCTTTCTTCCACACCAAACGATTAAGTTAAATAATCCAATGTCTTGCTTCTCTTCTCTCTTTTCTTTTGCTCTAGTCGTGTTCAAATAACATGAAACATATAGAGGAAACACAACAAGTGGATTTAGCATCATTAATCGGATTAATTACTGGCGCTGGTATACCATCACGAAGTCTTGGTGTTCTCTCCTCGACATGGTTAAACAATCTTTGGCTTTCAAATGAAGAAAAATTAAAGACTATACTTGTTTTAATGAAACATATTGGTCAGGTGATTGGTGAATGCAAATCTTCAGGTACAACAGAGGATACAGATTGTACTTCAAGTGTATGGAGTAAAGAACAAGGTAGATTTAAAAAGATTAGTTTTGTACAATAACAATAAACCGAATATGAAGTGATTGAATAACTGTGTTATCATCAAGTGAATCAAGTTGTGTGTTTTTTCGTTGCTCACAGTAAGCAGTGTAACAGCATAGTTGATAGAAGCATTAACTTAATATCAAGAAATTGATAGATTGTCTTTCTAAAATTAAGCGTAGTGTTCAGTACTCGTCATCTTTAAAAACCAATAGTTAATAAGTTTATAACCGGTCGGCATTACAGAGCTGTTATAGAACGAAACTAGGATGTTTCATGATTTGCATGTACCATATTACAGTTGGAATGTTGTTAAGTTGCAAGTGAATTTCCAGTGCTTTCCAACTTGAATTATTCAAATGAGTTTTAGGCTTTGCTGAATTATAACAGGGATAGTATTTTGTGATTTTTATTGCCAGCAGTAATGAAAGTTTTCTTTTGTGTGGGTTTTTAGATACACAATGTAATATGTGGTGACTTTAGTTAGTATGCTTAACGAGATACTTCATGAAATACTGTTTTGAATTTCATGTTAGAGTAGAATTCAGATCTTGACTTCACTTTGTCGCAAATAAGATGGTGAGTATTTTTCTGGAGGCATTCCAGTAAAAAAATCAATGTGCACCGTGATGGCGAGCTACCTAGAATTGTGGCCACATTGGAAACCTGACTGATAGAATTTAGTCTGCACCAAAGACAGGACTAAACATATCGCACTAGTTACTAGTGTCCAATCAGAGTATCTAGTACAATCCTACAGTAGGTTAATGGTGAGCCCGAATAGCTCAGTGGTAACGTCTCTGACTGCAGCACTTGGGAATGTGGGTTTGAATCTCAGAATGGACATGAGTTCCTTCAAGGTTGCGGATACGTCTTGCTGACGAGTGCCAGCTAACACGAAACCTAGGTCCAAGGCTTCCTGCCGATCGCCTTTAGCCATCTAATTTTGTTCAAAATAGCTGGTGCAGTATGGGTGAAAGGAAGTTTAACAAGTTAAATAGAATAAAAAAGACAGCAGAGAGTACTATGAGTAACCGAATGGGAGAAAAATACTCATCTGCTCATCTACAATATGCAGAGAATATAGCATTTTTAGGTGATGATGCTTTTTGAAGGTGGATTATGTGAGATAATTTGTTCTTAACTTTAAATGCTTCGGTTTACTCGCTCACGTTAGGTAAAACGATATGGTCAGTAATATTTAGATTAGATGCTTAATTGTTAGGTATAGATTTTTTAAAATTTTGATTATAGCTTGAAACCACACAGTATTTTTGGTACAAGTATGGAATTTTCAGCATGTGATATCGGTAGCCCAAATTTAGCAGGCCGACCATAGAGATCAGGTGTGCGTCGGCAGCGGGGCGAACCCCGGACCATGTGCATGGTCGGCGAGAGTCCTAACCGCTGTGGCACCGATAATAATGTTATCGATGATATGTATTTCTATCGATTGGAACGGCTTAAACATGTGTAAGCCATACCAAGTCATCACTTCCTTCAATGGGTGATGATAGCTGAAATAGAATTAGGTTGGAAGAAAGTTGGGGGTGGTCAAACTAAAACCTGAAATCAATTCATGACTGTTCATTTGAACCACATATTGGGGATGTCTGTTTTGTAACTGTGGAGGTGTTCTTGGGTTGCTGGAAACACTTTAGAATCGTCTATAATGGCGAAAATATTTCCATTCCCTGTTACTGTCCAGATTCTCGAACTCCTTACTGATCTTCCTTTTTTTGTCAAACAGAAAAGTCTTTGTTTCACCATCACTGTTTCCACTTTGTATTCATTTCTGATAACTTTCTAAAATGGCGTGTGAAAAGATCTCTTGTAATCTACTGAGGAAGTTTCTACACATCAAATGCTAACGAAACACAACAATCGTTAACGCTAAGATTGTGTTTCATGAAGCTGTGAGTAGCGGAAGTATGCCTTTAGGATTAAAAGTAAAGAGCCAAAGTTTCTACTCACGATTGAGACAGAAGTTTGTCTAGTCACAGGTTCACTATATTTCCATTGTTTTGCAATCAGCCTGCATATGATGTTATGTGCTAGCAGTACAATTTAATAAAGAAGAATGCTGTTTATGCTGGGTTTTGACTGAAAAAAATAATTACATATACACTAATTTGTATTCAATTTTACTTAGATAAACGTATAAATTTTCAATCAACAATTTTTGTAAGTAGATTAATTATCGATTTAAGTAAGCGTTTCTTTGTTTCTTTAGTCATTCATTCAATTGTGTACATTTGTTGACTTAAATGTTACACTGGTGTCAATTGATCTCTGTTGCGCAGAAATACACAATCCGATGTGATTTCTTGCTTGAATAGTAAATATTTTCAAGTTTGTGTGGCACTTTGTATATAATGTTGTTTATTTCAACTGTCAGCATCTAACATAAATTCATCATTTTAAAGAAGATAAAATTATCAAACATCAAGTGTAGCTTAAAAATCTGCCTAGTATCATTGAAAGTATTGTAGGGGACCTCAGTAACAGAACAAGTATGTGAATAAAAATCCAAGTTAATGAGATGACAGTGTAACAGTATATTATAAAAATATACAGTATTGAGCTATATAAACTAATCGGTTACTTGGTTATACATTTAAAGTCCACTACTACAAATTATTAATATAATCGACAGTAGTGTTCACTGCTGGAGTCGTGTCTACTGGTAGAAATTGTGTACCGGCTGTAGAATAGTCTTCGGATGAGGAAAAAAGATTCCTGCAAAATCCAAAGTATACAACATGGTTAGTAGTGAAACAAGTAGACAGTATAGATCAGTGAGATGATGAAGCGGTGAACAGCAAACTGTATTTTTTAGCTTGTACTCCGCAGTTATCTATATTCCAACTTGAGTCGTTTTAAACAAAAGTCGTGTACAATGTTTCTAATTTCAACATCTAACAAAAGACTGTACAATCGTATTGTTACATACTCCACACGGTTCCCCACCCTGCTACTTGCGACGCATCTCTGCACAGGATGAGAGATGCTTCGGGGTTGATGTGAGACAGAATGGCGACTTTGGACATAGCGTCTTTGGCGTTACAGAAAGATTCATGTGCTTATGCTGATGATTGGAACTTTTAAGGAGATCAGTTGAAGGTTGTACGATGGAGGCACACGAAGTAAGAAAACGTAAATAGAAATTAAACATCCCCCTAAAATCGTCGGACTTTTTTCAATGAGTCTGGTATGGCAAAGTTTTTGATTTTATCTATCTTTTCCTCCTCAGGTCTGATGCCGTCTGAGGTTATGTTATGTCCCGGAAATTGAATGAAAGGGGCACCGAAAATGCACTCCTTAGGGTTTATCGCGACACGTACTGTTCGAAATGCTGAAACAAAGTGCTGAGGTGATCCTTATGATCCTCTGCCAACTTACTAGCAGTTAGTACGTCATCTAATAAATGGACACAAAATCAAGACCTTGAGTGACTTGGTCCATGAAGCGCTGAAAAGACTGTGCAACATTTTTCAGACTGAATGTCATTCGTAGGAATTCAAACAAGTAAAAAGGTGTTATAATGGCTGTCTTCTCAATATTTTCGGGAGCAACTGGTGTCTGGTTATGAGCTCTGACTAAATCCACTTACATACAGACATACTCCACAGTATATCCACCCGGTATGGAAAATATCTTCAACATAAGTTAGTCCAGTTATTCGTGCCTAGTTTTTCAATGTATCTTCTTGATCCCAACTAGATACCATAATATATCCTGGTTCTATCAATTGGAAAACAGAAAAAATAGTATAAACAATGCATAAAAGTGACCTGACAGGAAAGACATAGACGTGAGTTTAACATTTGAGGGTCCCCGTCAACAGAACTGTTCTGGGAATGTTAAGCAGTCCATTTCGCCTCATAGTCAGACAGATTTATACTGGGACTGCGCAGTGTTTAAGCCAGAATTTGTTTACGACGATAAAGTGACGTGATCATAGTAACTATTCGGAAAAATTATAGAGAGCAAAATTGTGAAACCTTTTTCATCTGAACAAAAAATTCTTTCTTCCCTCTATTAATGCTGTTACTAGCATAGTTCAAAGATCCAACTGTGTCTTTCAGTCTGTCATTTTGTGTTAAGCTTTTCATCGCTCTAATTGTGATAACGTGAATTATCAGTCTCGTCCAGTGTGTTTAAATTACACCATGAAGAGAAGTTTGTTCACCGCTGGTTCGAATGCTTATCAGAGACACGACCAGCTGTCTGCTGCTTAGCACTAATCTAAGTCTTAATTGTAACATATTCAATACAGAGTAGCATTAAACTTTGTGATTTCAAATTATTATCAAACATTTTATTTGCTAATTTATTTTTCAGTTATTGGATTCATTTAATATAAACAATTGTTTAACTTTTCTTTCATCTTTTTATTTAGTGGTAAAGTATAATGTCTTGTTGCATGAAATCAACTCTTGGTTGCTCTGTCAAAGTGCTAAAAACGAGGCGTTGGCGAAATTGAAACATATTGATTGTCGAGAAGCAGGTTCACGTGTCAAAGGTGAATTACTGATCACTGATTCAACTAAATTGCTTCATGATGTTCAGTCGGAATCTTTATCCAAGGTTGAACACTTGAACAATACACAAATGTTATTCGGTGGTATACTTATGTGGTTTGTAAGTTTATTATATAATGAATTTCCTTGTTTTTCAATTATTAAGAACTAACTATTAATGTGTATATTTTAACTTTTTGTTGTATAGGGTGGAAATTAATTTCACTGCCAGGATTAAAGAGGATTAAGTGCTTACTTAAATTCCTGTCAACCAAGCCTACTTAACACTCTTTGTCAATAAAACGGTACAATTCTTTTAAACAGGTTTATTTATTGACAGGCCAAGTTTAAATTGTTTTATCCATCAATAAGAATAAAATCACTAGTTGAGTTGTCATTTCTATTAAATGTATGCAGATTATTGTATTGTGTATAAAACATTTACTTTGAGCATAGTCCTAAGAACTCACCTCGTGGTGGTGTTAGTGGTGGTGAGTGCAATAATACTGTTAGACTTAAACTTGTTAATTTAGCTGCTTAAGAAATTAGCTATAAAAACAATATCTTGGAAATGAATAGCTACTAGAGTGATGAAAATTCAAAGACATATATTGATATTTAATTGGTGGATGGTGACTAGCAGTGGAATCCACGACGCGCATTTCGTCTTATTTGGGACTCATCATCTGGATATGCCTGCATTTCTGAGTGAGTGGTGATGTTCCCACCGAGGCTCGAACCCAGTGCCCATAGTTTCACATGTCAAAACAGTCAGTTATCCACTAGACCACTTGGGCCACGAGAGCCACCTCTTGTGCACATTTTCATAGTTCAGTATTACTCAAAATGAGCTACTGTCGTCTGAGGTGAAGTATTATTGTTTTTACAAGAATCTCAGTATTATGCGTTGCACACAGTCATCAGTGCAAATTGGTAGCTAACTTTTGGGTAAAAACGAAATGATGTGAACGTCTACGTACAGAAGTGACAAAATCATTGTCTATCTTTCCTCTTAACTCAGTGTATATTAGCGAATAAGATACTGTGTAATAGTATCCTCTTGTCTGGGCATTAATTGCACTTAGTCACTGAACTGGGTTCCATTTACCTCTCATGACTGACTGAGTTTTAACGTAAAACGCAGCACACAAGTACAGCAGTTCGAGTTGTCACTCTCCATATAGCACACAAATGTAGAAAAGAGAGAAAAAATTTAAAACGTTTATGATAAGCAGAAATGTACAGGAGAAAAAAAATTACAAAGAGTGAATGCATCTGCACCACTGAGAACGGTTTTGAACCATATCAATAACACTAGTAATTAGCATCCTGAGGACTCCAACCAGTTAATGTACACCTCCCTGTGTGGCTGACTCGAAGCAACTTTGGTTTGATCAACCTTAATTCTTTCCCAACCCAATACTATCTCAGGTTACATTTCTTGTCGAGGAAGTCAGTGGCTTGGCATGCGCACCACATGTCGTAGATATTTTAATCTGTGTAGCTTCACAACCTGGTCGATTGACTTCCCTTCATTATCTAGCACTTTACGCCTAACTTCAATATTACTAATCATACTGTGCCACATAAAATGCGAGATAGAACGCAAACCTGTTGGGTATACTTCTTGTCAAGACAACTGGTATACAGTATAACATTTTGCTGACTCTTTGTATTAATACGGCATTATCTCCATAAATTCGAACACTGTCTATCAATATAGCCTGTAGAAAGAATGAACTTATTGGTAGATCAGAGGTTGTTCACACAAAGTGTTACACAAAACAGTAAAGATGATAGTGAGTAATGGCATTTTGAAGTTTTCAGTGCTGAATGATTATTAACTCGCAGTTAAATTAGATATATAAAGAATTACACCTCTTCAAATCAGCACAAAGATCTATGCATACAACTTACTTCCGCTGAAGATCGTATATTATATGAATATCTTGATGGCAGCAATTTTGTGTTTAAGTTTCTTACGTTCTTTGGTGCACCTTACTGATAGGCGTCAGCGAGCTTGAAACGTATGCTGTTTAGTGTTTATTCAGTGAATTTAATTGAATCAAGTGAACAACTTTAACCGTTTTTTTCCCCGAAATAAATTTCATATCTGTGTTTTCTGTTCCTTTGTTGTTACTTTCACATTTCATAGGTGACTATATTTCTCTTTCATAAAATCTTGAATTCTGTTGTTTTCACATCGGATATCAAAAATTCTTCGTTAAATAAAAGAGTGAGTAACTTGCAGTTTTTTTATGCTTTGCATTTGTTTCAATAAAACAAGAGAAATGTGTTCATAACCGTGTTAAATGATCAATGTACCAAATTTAAAGGGTTGTGTATTTTAAAATGAATCTGCCGGTTTACTGTAAACTTACTGATAGCCTCTTAGGGTGATGAGGGATACAGTAATAAACTTTACTACCGAAATACATACACCATTTGAAAGTATAAAGAAATCACATTTGAAACGAATTCATTTGAAGGTAAGTGTGAGCTGCAGAAGGATTTGAACTGGCAGCTGCAGCAGCGTACTGTCTAACATTCTTTTCTTACTTCCCTGTCAACGTGAATACATTTGTCAGCGTCTTGGACTAGTCGGATCTTGTGTTACTTCCTATTTATGCTTGTTACAGCGTTAATGGATTTTTTTTACCTCGAGGATTTCTTTTAATTCATCTTCACTTGTGGCATATTTTCCTCTGCCTTATGATTGCTTGATTACATCAGTTTAACAATTATCGATGAGTAGCAATCAATGTTACCTTATATTTTGTTTAACGCCAAATCGGTATTTGTATTGTTGTTGTCATCATATCAACTGAATCAAATATCAGTGATGGTGAGAGTTGATAATTTTGATATTGCCATAAAATTTGCTTATTCCTCAGTGATAGTCAAGAAGATCCACACTCATTTTCAGGCTGTGTAGTTTTCTTTTTCTGCGTCTCTAGCAGATGATCTATCCATGCTCTTGCTCTCTTAAATTTTGAAGTCTTCAATGGATCTGATGGTGTAAGGGCTAAAAAGGGTTAGGATAAAGTGTCAACAGAGTAGGAGTGTTGAATGCATTCAACCTTTAACGATTTTTTTTTACTATGATGTAGTCTACTAACAACTCCTTTGTTTTTGTCTATCTCTATGTTTACGTTAAGTGTCTCCTAGACGTATGTATTTATCGTTTACTTTTGTTTGACTAGAGAAACAAAAAAAAAAAAACTGGGCTGCATTCACGGTCATCAGTATTGTAAATAATTTATCTGATTTCATTTGAAGGCTTCTGCTGTGATATACATTTTTTGTGTGTGTACGATACACCTAAGAATAATAACAACAATAATATTGATAATAATTGATTCTCTGCTTCATTATAATTGAAGAATTTCGTATTCAATCATCGGCTCTCTCAATCATTTATATATTTATTTGCAAAAAATAGACTCATTGTGTTCAATATCTGGTCCCTAACAAACGTAATAACTTTTACCTTGTGTATAATGAAATACCTTTATCACATGTTTTTCTAGTCAAAACCTCAACTTATAACGCACAAGGTATTCTTTAAAAACAAATCATGCTATGTGTTTGTAAAGTGAAAATTTTATTGGATACCTCGTGTGCGCTAGTACTACAGAAATAGATCAGCGTTAATTCGTTTGTTCTAGAGAGGTAACAGACACCGTTGAATTACTGCATATCACTACGGTGAGTGTTAGTTAGCGCTGAGCTGACAGCAGGTTGGATTACGTGGAAGCTTCAATATTCACCGAAGCAAACTACAATAGCAATCTGTAAAGTCATTAAATGCTAGCCTAAGTGATCTACATATTAGTCATAGAACCCTTGTATCGCTAAATTTAGACTGCATTGCGTAAGCTATAATTATTTAGAGGTGAAGGATATCTATCATTATGACTAGGCAGTTTCACGTATGCTAAGTGGTCGACAAGAGCGACGTGTAGGTAATAATGACGCTGAGATTTGACAAGTATTCTCTACCAATCAAAAAGAGGCCTGTACGCTGATTGATTACTGGTGTTAATCGACTGGGCTTTTTTTAATATAGTCTGAATTATAACCTCTGAACACAATACATACCCGGAAGTTTCTGTCATAGGAAAATGCTTTAAATGTATGTGGAAATTAAATGAAGAACTAGTAAAAAGTAAATAGGTAGTAGTGATTCATGTTCGAGTTCTAATATCTGCTCTTAAAGCAGAGCCAAGTATTAAATTTACAATATGTGCGTACACTTACTCTTGTCTCTTTAATACATTATTTTACAAAAATAAACTACTCCCCTGTTTGAAAGATATCAAATGCTTACCTGTACGCAACTCTGCACCTTCTAGATGAAGCTTATGATTTCGGCTTGTTGCCAGTATGCCCCTTTTTTGAAAACAGTGGAAAAATTACTTTTCCTTACACTTTAATTTTCAGTAAATTCCTTCAGTAATCTCAAACAATTCACATAAAAATACACCAGAATTCCTTTGGATGCAACTACTGTTTTTCATCATAAAATAGAAAAATGATACCAAGTACGTTCTCTGCAACTTCCTACGTTATACTACTGCTCTCAACTTTCACTAGATAAGCTTAACACAACACATATTGAACGGTGGGCGATAAACTAGTTGTTCTCTTAGTTTTCTGGGTGGATGCAGTACTTTATTTATAAAGGTAGGGCACTATTTCGTTGTCTGCTGAAGCAGCTTTGTGTATCAAATTGATGTCCTTTCCCTTTTCTTTTCTTTTGACACTAATCGTCTTATGTTTCTAAAGTTAACTGCATTAAAAGATGGTTGCAGAGAGAAAAAAACATTTTCTTGACCGAAGTCTCTAACTTGCCTGTGAATGCATAACTAACGGGTGAGAAAGTTCCCAAACTGTTTCCAGTCGGAAGTCAAAGTACAATAACCCCTTTATAACATGTTTACGAATATGTACAGTCCAGTTAATGACTGCGTTGTGAAGGAGAAAAAAATTTCTTCACTGCAATCATCTTTTTGTTTTTTCCTATGATCTAATTTCATTAAGTTTACTGAAAGCTTGACAGTCTCTTCCATTTAGTCTTTCCGATATAAATAGTTTCTTATCTAATGTGTTAACCAGTGCTTATTGCCAAATAGTTCAAATTGTGGAATTCCTGTAAATGTCAGATTATTAATTTGAACTTTAGGCTTGAGCAAGACTTCTATAGATTACTTCAGCCCCATGTGTCGTGTAATACTGATGGTATTATGCTGCAAATTGAGTCCAATATTCTTTTTTTATTCGTCTTCCCAGTAAATCTATCGTTTGACCTACTAAATAAGAAACACTGACACATCTCTTGAAATTTACACCTTTTTGTAAGTAGAGATTGTAGTGTGCTGCAGAGTCAGTTAACTGACTTATATACTGACATTGATACATATTTAAACAATCTGATTTACACTTTCGAATGTGACGTCTTTGGTTCTTTTTATGCGCATCGAGTATGGTTTGCCTTACTGTACAACTTGATATAGCCAAGGCGTCCGCAGATAAAACGAGCCATTTGTTCAGCTTCACTGAATTCCTTCATAATTTTCCACTCACTACTAGTCTATAAGGCAAGTAATTTAAGAGTTTAAATTGGCTTGTTCGATGAATGCATAAACACTTTTTAACTCATGGAAAATTCCCATTGTAACATAGAAAATCAAAACAAGTGATTCAGCGAAGAGACTCTTTTCAACGAATTTATCACCAAGCTGTACAATCGTATATATATGGCTTTTAAGAAGTTGTATCCGGTGTGGGAATTGAATCTTAGGTGTGAATGCATAAAATAATGATAATAATAATATGAAATGCAATTAAAACTAAAATGTTTGTGATTATAATCATAGTTAAATGTCAAGTGGCAAAGCAAATTAATGTCATATATAGAATAATTCATAGGATCGATAGAACTTGAAAAAGGGTGTTCAATTATAGGATTAGTAGACAAATCGAATAAAATAAAAACGTTACGTAATATTGTGTGAAATTTGATAGCGTAAAATTTAATGTTGTAAAAAAGAAATGATTTAGAATGACAAGTGGAACAAGTGAAATAATACCGGGGACAATTAAAAGTGAAAGTAGTAATAGTAACAATTGACATAATAAGGAAGAGACTACTAACTGAATAGACAAAATAAAAAATGAAAAATTGGTAGAGCTAAAATATGGTTAAGGATTACCATACTTTAGCATAGAGAGATTAAGACCATGAAAGTTGGAGGGGTTGAATGAACTTTTTCTGTACACAGAGGTGTGGCTTTTCTGTTTCGGTAGCCAAAGCTTCAGCAATACAGATGAGTCGAGTACGTAGGGATTTGGGTAAATTACTCTTTGCCTTGTAGATGACTTTGAAGGCGTAGTCTATAGAGATAGGGTGATCATTATCGACCAGATGTTCAATGATAGCGCTTCTTATTGCTCCACTTCCACCGTTTCGTAACCATGCAAGATAGTTTTCTTGCACCCTCTTGGACAAGACTTGAGTCGAACGACCGATATACCTAGCTCTACACGAGCAGGTGAATTGATAAACTCATATAGAGTTGGTCAACAGCGGGATCTTGTCCTTCAGGTTATTGAACAATAATGGTCGACTAGTAAAGGCTATTCCCAGGGATGCAACAGGGAATGTTCTGTTCAGGGACTGTGATATCCTTCGTTTCATGATATCGGAAGCTAAGTCCCCTTTGAATTCCAAGCTCATGTAAAGTATCTTCTTGGCTACGGTTGATAAGTCACGTTTTAAAGGATTTGAATGTATATTCTTATCTATAAAACGTGGTGGAAATCCATTTTCTATTAGGATTTTCCTCAAGATGTATAACTCATCTTCCACAGTATCAGGCCTACATATTCGCCGAATACGAGTGGCAAGTGACCGGACCAGGTTTCATTTTCAACCAATGGGTACCCAGCTGTGGAAATTTGTCAGTTGACCATTCCATGACAGCTTTCGATAAATCGATCTCTTCAGAGTTCCATCTGTCCTCCTTGATAAGTTCACATCGAGGAAATGAATGCTAGACTCGTTCTTCATTTCGAATGTGAATTTTATCGCAGGATGGCAACCATTAAATACATTTTATATATTATTCAAGTTACAATCACTATTACAAATAATAATTGTGTCATCCATATACCTTTTATACATTTGAAAGCTTTGGATTGTAGGCTTCAACTGACCATTTTCTAGACTGGACATAAATACTTTTTAACAGCACTTTATGGGTTAGTTAGAATTTAAATACATCGGACAGATTTAGGATGTCTCTAGCTAAAGGGCAACACGTATTTGTTAGAGCCAATGATACTCACCGGTCGTTTAGACAAGAGTATACGGAGTGGGGCTCGAAATCGACACCCATTACCTGAATGTAGAGTGATTAAATCAATGAGTCAGTATTTCCAAGGTGGCAATTCATAACTCTTGTGTTAAGAAAATGAGCCTACTGTGAGCAAATGAATTTTGACTAATTCGATTACTGCTTTGTCAGCATACAATTATCATTGTACAGATAATATTCTACATTAGCCTGTAACATACTTTTTATGCGTTGATGATATAAAGCCTGCTGTTAAGCTATTCAAGCACATGACTATGAGTGAACTAGAATTTTAACATATTTGCTCTACTTTACTTGAAAAGCTAAGCAACATGTCTTATCTGTTTTTATGTATTACATGTATAAATACTGTGTAGTTGCTGATCTGAATGGAGTGCTATTTTAATTAAATCCTGACTCTTTGAAGTGATTGAAAAAATAAGTTTCACTTTTCAAAACATTGAGGATGAAAAATATAGGTCTATACGTTTATCATTATTCCCTTGGGTTCCGAGTGAAACATTGGCCTTCAGTAGTACATCTCATTCCATCCTATTCACTGCAATCACTTTTAACTGGCTACACAATTGCCCACAAATACTCATCTCCTCCTCACCTGATCTTTTTCATGTCAACGGCTGATGCCCAACTTATCGTTTCCCAGTCTAGTTTCACTCAAGGTATCTGCCTGGCGCATGATATCAATCAATGGTCCCCTCAACTTATGTTTAAGTAGTTTTTATGACTAAGTTGAAGAGGTGAATTTCGTTTTATATTAATTTTAAAATAATTCAGGCCGTGAAATTGTTGAAGATCATAGACGATGAATAAATCTGGATCATTGTAAGGACTGCCAAAAGTCTCGCTGAGATTCCCCAAAGAATCCCAGCCAGGCATTGTGGACTTTTTTTTAAAAATTTGGCGTAAACTAATACTTGGTGCGTCGGTGGCATAGCGGTTAGGACTCTCGCCGATCATGCACATGGTCCGGGGTTCGATCCCTGGCCGACGCACTCCTTTACCTCGCTAAGCCAGAAATAATGCTGGTGAAGAGGGAAGGTTGGGCATGAGGCTAGCAACCCCATCGTGTAGAATAAACACTGCTACAGAAACTTCAAGCCACTAGCTTGAAGCCCTATGTTCCACTGGGGAACGTGAAGAAAAAAAAATACTTGGAAACTTAGTTAACTGCTTTCATGTTTAGATCTGATCACGCCCAACTTTTTTCCAATCTTAATCTGCTTCAACAGACATCGGTTGGCATGCATTACGCATGTTCCCACTACACCTGCCGTTGACTTTTAACAGCTTCATTGACTGGCATACACTCCTTGGTCTGAAGAGCTTTCACTGCATGATTCCACTACAAGTCCTTAGTTTCCATCGATCATCTCAGTCCTAAAGTAGGCTAGTGCATATACGCTGACTGGTAATATAGTAATCTAACAGTTAAACTTTCTGTTTGCTTTCAAAATATGAATGACACAAAGTTCGGATTTCAAAAGAATGGTTACTTCAAGTAATAGGATTTACTAATGGCTAAATTTGGTCGATGAAATGTAGTGAATTCGTCATACTGCTTTAACTTTTTCACACATTCAGTTGTTCAGGTTAATTGTGTAGATCTGCCGGTCTACTGACAACAGCTAATACGAGAACTAAATGAATCACTTAATATTCTTGTCTATAAGCATCCCATATCATACAAATATTACATTCTACCTTTATATCGTTTCCTCTTTGGCATGATTATTGTTGTTGTTACTTTTCAGAATCAAAAATCCCTAATCCAATATTATTATTCTGATACAGCTGATATCAGATATTCATTTGACCCGCGTTTAGTACAAATTATTTGCAGTTTCGGGACAGTCTGTTTACTGTTGCATTCAATTAGTTTAGCATCAAGTAGTTATGCTGAAGAAGAGCATCAATTATGGTATTATTTCGGTTCAAGTCTTATGCTGTTAATCGGTTTGTTAGTTCTTCTCGGCGATGTCACTTCAAATATTAAATGGATTATAATAAAATTAATCTTGAAGATACTTCTGTTAGATCGTTTTCTACTGCGTCAACTTCATCGAACTGGTAATAAATGGATACACTTACCAGATATATCTGATTGGTTATATAAGTAAGTCATTTATATATCTTTTAATAATAATAATAATACCACTTATAGTTTGATGAGTTACTCATAAATAGATATAAGTAGCATGTGGAGTAGGTTTCTCCATGTCTATCTCTTCAAAGAACTCTGGCTCAGGCACCTCCATCGTCAGCAAAAGCAACCATACTAGTATAACCCGAACAATTTTGATACGGGTAGCAATAACTTTGGTCAAAACAAATGGATATTAGTGAAAATATGAACACTACACTAGTGTCACACTTTGCAAATGACAATCTTTTGAATGTCTGTTTATGATAGTGTTCTTCATGAGTTTTTCCGCTGATACACAAATTATAATTGGTTTCTGAGTTTTTCACTTAATACACTACTCTTAACTACTTATAAGTAGTACATACCACACCACTTTTGTGCAAATTTTCATGCCAAAAGATTAAGGATTATTGACTGATTGTCCAACTGATTTCCATATTATAATTAAGGAAGATGGGAAATGGATTCACTTCGTCGTAGATTAACACTTAAGATAACAACTGGACACTGAAGTCGAAAAATGTACTACTAACAAAATCCTAGGTTGGATGAACAGGAAAAAAAGCTACTCAAACACTTACAAATTTCACCTAAATTATTCGCTATCATATCTACATAAACCTTCCTTTGTTCTGTCTGTCGTTGGTTATTGCGATGAAAAGAAATTGTCATTCTGTTCTCATTGACAAAATCTGTATGCAGATATAGGCGCTCTGTCGAACTGCTGATAGCGTTCAGCTTAATTTCACTTTTTATTAATTCATCTTAATCCTTCACTTTGCAAGTGAAGATTGAGCTTCGAATTTTTAAATACAGCGGTGTTTATTTTTTATGGGCTGAGGTTGCTAGCCTCGTGTGTCAGCCGTTGTTCCTGTCTACCGTGCTCATTACCTGCTAAGTGAGTTTAGAGAGAGCGTCAGTCGAAGATCGAACCCCGGACCGCGTGCGTGGTTGGAGAGTATTCTACCACAGAATCACCTATGCTTAGTTTCTTTTAACCATAATCCATAACTATCTGTCTTTCTGTTCTCTCTCTTTATCTATTGCCATCTTAAGTTATAAGTTTCATCGCCTCGAATGTCTCACTTCTTCTTATTAATTTAAGCTAACACCTTCAACAACTCACACTAACCAGGAGTGTAATCAGATTATAATCTCAAGTGAAAAACATATTGGCGGAATAATACGTAATAAGAGGGCATCAATCAATAAGACTGTGAAGCTTCCTCTACTAAGGTGACTAGAATATGTATTACGCAAGTTGAGCTACCACCTTCCTCGTCTACCAATGTCAGCTGAAGTAGGATTGATTTTATAGAGTACAGAGACCAAAACCAGGAAGAAACTGACTGTTGACGTGAGAGACAAAAGAGTTTTCAGAAACCTTAAAATATTCCACAATGTCTCAGATGTATTCATGTCTTGTTACCATACAGGTTCTGAGATACTCAATAATCTCAATTTAGTCATTCACCCTACAATGTGTACACTTTACGCGTGATTTTTTGAAGTATATATATATATATATATATATGATTGCAATCGAGAAATGATTTTCTTATTTTGTTGACTATGTGGTGTATTTTTCATAGCAAAAAGGCTTTTGAGAACTTGTTAAAACGTGAACTAATAAATAACACTGAAGTAAACGAGAAAACAATTCTTCCTTACTGTTCACCACATCAATAGTCTAATATTCCAATGTAATTTTACCTGCACATCTTGGTGGCAAGAATTAAAATAATAAGAATTGCTTAGTGTATCTTTGTAATGTACACATAGGTTATTTTCTCTGTGTAAAACAGAGAAAGCAGCAGTTGAATAGAAAACTAAAGTAAATATAGAAGAGATTTCGATCAGTCAATCTTATAAGTTAACACTCCTACACTTTTTGTAGTAGTATGGTGTTTAAGTAAGTGCCTAGTTCAATTAAGAGTTTGTTTAGAAATGCTGTTCAATAGTAAAAAGTGAATCACATCTTTTAATATTTTCTTCTGCTCAGTAGTTATTTATTTTCATACAAGTTAGTTGCCTAAGTTAATATTATCAAATTTGCGAAAGTGATACATCAAAGCAATTGTGTTAAGATTGCTCACCAACTTAACTTGACATCAAGAAAAACAATACAAAACAGAACAATCCATTATATCGATAAAAAAATTACCAAATATGGCTTAAATTCTTGCTTTGTTTTAAACGTATTTTCATTGTTGGGTTCATTAAAACACACGGGTACCGTACTACGACTTCGTGATAAATCATAGACAAGGTAAAAAAAGAACTGCTAAACTGTTAATTATTATTATAATTATTGTTCCCTTGGGTTCCTAGTGGAACATAGGGCTTCAACTGCACGTCTCCACTTGCTTCTGTCTTCTGCTGTACTTTTCACCTGCATCCATGTTAGTCCATACTGTTTCAACTCCTCTTCACACGATCTCCTCCATGTCACCCTTGGACGTCCCACTCGAGCATTGGCCTGACGCGCGATGTCACCCAACGGCCTCCTCAACGAGTGTCCGACCCATCTCCACTTTCTCCTGCATATTTGTTGAGCGATTGGTTCTTGTTTTGTTTGTTCCCATAGTTTCTTGTTGGTGATTCTTTCTGGCCATCTGATCTTCAGTATAGAACGAAGACAGCTGTTGATAAAGGTCTGCAACATGGTGGAAATGCTCATTCTTTGTGACCCGCCAAGTTTCTGATCCGTATAGCAAAACTGACTTTACGTTTGTATTGAAAATCCGAATCACTTTGTTGTTGATGCTGAGTGACGAAGATTTCCAGATTGGTTCCAGGTTGATGAATGTGTTTATCGCCTTCCCGATTCTCGATTTGACATCCTCGTCCGTTCGTCCTGTAGTTAAGACAATGCTTCCTCCCTAGATAAGTGAATGAAGTAACCTCTTTCAAATCCCTCCCGTTGATGATGATTGGCGCTGGATGTTGCTGCTGCTGTTGTTGTTATTGGTTGGTTATTTTGATAACCTCCGTCTTGTCTATGTTCACCTGGAGTCCTGTCTTTGCTGCTTCTTCGACCTAAACTGTTTAAATGACTTGTTTTTTCCATTCATTTTTAAACATGTATTTGAGAGAGTCGGACATTATAGAATTACTCTCATTCGAATGCGTGTCGTCTGCAACTTTATCCGTAAAAGTACATTTTGTTGGACAACAATAAGATAAATTAATTGACCAGGCTTTATAAAATAGGAATACGAAGAATGCATAAGGACTTTGAGAGGTCGGTCAGCAATCTTTAGACGCATCAACATATATACCAAGTCTATTCGTCATTGTAAGTGACCAAAAATGTCTACCAAGTTAAAGGTCAATTCCGTGGAGTGTGAGCAATGATATCACCACTCCTGTGATGAATACCTGTATTGCAAGTTAATAGGACGTTCCACTGAACCAGTTGTGGAGAAATTAACATGGTTCTTTATATTTTGAAGTTTAAATTCTAATACTTCAAAAAATCACGCGTCAAATGTACACATTGTAGGATGAATGACTAAATTGAGATTATTGAGTATCTCAGAACCTGTATGGTAACAAGACATGAATACATCTGAGACATTGTGGAATATTTTAAGGTTTCTGAAAACTCTTTTGTCTCTCACGTCAACAGTCAGCTTCTTTCTGGTTTTGGTCTCTGTACTCTATAAAATCAATCCAGCTTCAGCTGACATTGGTAGACGAGGAAGGTGGTAGCTCAACTTGCGTAATACATATTCTAGTCACCTTAGTAGAGGAAGCTTCACAGTCTTATTGATTGATGCCCTCTTATTACGTATCATTCCGCCAATATGTTTTTCACTTGAGATTATAATCTGATTACACTCCTGGTTAGTGTGAGTTGTTGAAGGTGTTAGCTTAAATTAATAAGAAGAAGTGAGACATTCGAGGCAATGAAACTGATAACTTAAGATGGCAATCACGAAATAAAGAGAAAATTTATTTTAAGAAAGTTGCAACGTGATTGACTAATCAGCTGAATCTCAGTTTGTTCTATACTGTATTTACTAAGAGAATTGAAGAATAGGCACTTTTAAAAAATTAACGGATTGCAAACTATTCCAAGTTTACTGTTTCTGTTCGAATAGTGCCGTAGCTGCTCCCATCCTATTGAGATATAAATACACAGTTGTCTGTTTATTCTAAAATCTTTTGTTTTTCTAAGTAGATTTAAGTGTTTAGCTTATGGCTTATACATAAACTGGATGGATTCCTGTCTTCATATAAGTCATTCCAGTGTTTCTGGATGAGACGTTTTCAAACATTGGTCATCCCACTTCTATCGTGTGTTACTGAGTAACAAAGTTGAATCTCATAAGTATCCAGTAAAATAAAGATGCATGAAAGATGGGAGATTGCATATAATTCAATTGTCGCTACTTTTATTTCCAGTGACCTAGAATTCATTAGACTCAACAAGCTTTTTGGACACCTTTACTCATAAACCTGTCTATAAGGCAAAGTGCTGATGTAGGTGTGCTACAAATTTTGATGATGCATTGGTTTGTATGCGGATAATTATACATCCTTCGTTTAATTCTAAATAGAATGCAGGTATATCCAGATGGTGAGTCCCAAATAGGACGAATTGCGCATCCTGTATTCCACTGCTAGTCACCATCTACCAATTAACTTCTCATTACATGCCCAGACATCATCGAAGCATCTGGACAAGACGCCGACATGTCAACCTGAGATCGACGGGAAAATCTAAAATTGAATGAAATAATTAATAATATGACCCGTTGCACAAGAGGTGGCTCTCGTGGCCCAAGTGGTCTAGTGGATAACGCTTTGGCATTTGAAACTATGGGCACTGGGTTCGAGCTTCTCTGGGAACATGATCACTCAGTGCGGAATGCAGGCACATTCAGATGACGAGTCCCAAATAGGACGAAATGTGCATCTTGGATTCCACTCCTAGTCACCATCCACCAGTCAACTTGTGATTATTCTGAAGGTTAATTTTGAGATACCGAATGCTACAAAATAACTTCATTAGTGGCTTTGTGCAAAGGAAAGGTTCTAATATACTTTTCACTGTTTCAATTCGTGTTGTGCAATTATAGCCGCATGAAGTTTTGTACAATATTCCAATAAAAGAAGATATTTTAATTAATGCCCGTCGATTATTAGAAACAGATGACATTAAGTACTATAATTGAAATGCAAACTTTGATGGAGATCAGAGTAGTAAACACTCCAGAGGCTTGTTATTGATTATTGTCTTTAATTCATCTGCAGATTAGATAGTGTATTAACCCCACCAATAAATGTGTTTTGTATTTATCTGTTCTATCACCATCCTACATTGTATTAGATTTTACTGAATGAAGTTGTGTAAACATATAGTTGTGTTGTTGTTGTTTTTTAATTTTAGGCCTGAAAATATCGGTTGGTTGTGGTTGTGGCTATTAATAGCATGGATCACATTCCTAGTACTTCGGTGCAAAGCACTATTTCGTTTACGTCCAACTTGCTCTATTTGGAATAAATGCAAGTATTACATACCGATACCAGTTAGCTTTTTTCTAGTTTGTAATCAACTGTCATATAAATTAGCTGTAGCTGAAAATGAAAAGTAAGTTATAATTGAATTATTGTTATTATTCTTTTGAGTTCCAAATGGAATATAGGGGTACAGCGGCACGTTTCTATTGTTGTTCAGTTCTATGCTGTATGCTTTAATTGGCTTTCATTTCACCTTCTCATGAGCCTCTCCATGTCACCCTGGGACACCCACTCCGTCAGCGAGTAGAGCATTTGGGTGTTCGCATTTCCTTGTTAGGTAATAGGTTTTTGTCTGGTTGATTGTCTGCTAAAGTTCTTTGACGCTTATCCTTTCTGGTCGGCCATATAATCTTTGCTATCGAGACAGTGAGGACAAGTGTTGATGAAAGTCCACAACAATCTGTTGGGCATGCTTACATTGAGTCTCTCAACCATATAGAATCACTAGCTTGATATTAATTTTGAAAATTTGACTCTTGCTTCTTATACTGAGTACAGTAGGCTTCTGTATTGATTTGAGATTAATAAATATCTGTCTTGCTTTTCCTATCCTACCTTTGACATCCTCATTTGTATTGCGTGTAGTTGAAACGATGCCATGTCAATGGTGATTGGTACCCGCATCGTATCTATCTTCTCTGTGTTCATCTGAAATCCTTTATTTGAATACTTGACTCGAAAATTTGTCTAATTAATCTTTACTTATCAGTTTTGATACATAATTTTTTGAGTATTACGTGAACAATAGTCTGCAATTGGGTTGCATAATAATTACTAACTATCAAAACAGGTATCTGAGATGCACAGTATTAAGTGTGCTGTTCCGCTCACACTGATACACTGATAATGAACCACACTGTTGTGTCTTCAACAGCTAAATACTATAATTATTCGTACAAAATGAGTCATCACTTTTTTATCGAACATATCAGTGGTTTCGTAAGTAAAAAAAATTATTGTTTGTCGTTACCAACACATTGGCTGACTGTGTTATTTGATATGCTAGCTTCACTGAGATTTATTTAATTAGCCCTACAGCAGAGGTGGTTGTATTTAAAGAAAATGTCCTCTTCATCTTAGATGATTAAGACAATAGGGGGGGGGCATTGTTGTTTTCTGAGTTTATCTCACAACGACTAGGTGAGTGTTACGAATTTTTGTAGTATCCATGGTTTACAGGATTTTCATCATGAGCTGACATTAGTTAGAGGACCATTGGGAAAGCTGGGAGTACTGGACAGCTGTTTCGTCCTAGTTTGGGACTCTTCAGCAGTACGCACCCACACCACTGGGTTCGAACCCAGGACCTTCTGGTTACAAGGCGAGCTCGTATACCATTAAGCCACTGGGACCCGAACCAATGGCCCATGAATTCTAACTTCTGCCAATTCACGACATAGCGCGACTCCTAGCCAATGTCTTCGGCGAGTATTTGTCCTCAGACCCGACCAGCTGCACCCTACTACCTACCTGAATAGGGCAAGTCGCTAGTGAGCATCTCATTGATATTCAAGTGTTGGTTTATAGGGATTTGATTGGTTACAGGATTTTCATCATCAAATCCCTACAAACCAACACTTGAATATCCATGGTTTAGTTGGTTGCAATTCCCCTTGTGCAATGGGAAAAAAAGTTGAATAATATCCCGCTGTGGCTATTTATGTGCCCTGTCTGCAGAAGTTGGTTAATGATCACACTCCATATCATAATTCCTTCTGATTCACAAGTTAGATAATAATTTCGTGCAGTTCATGTGGTTAGGAATGGGCTCCTGCTCATTAACAACAGTTCTGTAACTGTTCATCCGTTTCCTTGTCTCAACCAACTTTAATATTAGCATTATTCATCCTGTTCACCAGCGTGTAGCCAAGGAGTCGAGGGTGCATTTGTCATATAGGCACTTACACGCTAAGTAAATCATATCTTGAACTTTGTTTCTTTGTAAACAGTCTCATCCGCAAGTAGTTTTACTTATACTACAATTTAGCATATCAAAACAGGAGTATTTCTGCAGCACTGCTTGACTTTTCTTCCTGTTCTACATTCATATCTTTTTCTCCTAAATAAGATTATATATGCTTAAGCTTTTCCTGATTTGTCAGGTGTCTGTTGTGTGAATGATGATGAGTGTAATGTTTTCATCGCTTTTTATTTCACCATAAGTATGTCACTTTGCTTGTTTATATTCTGACTTTCAGTGAAGACGCCGTACACTCAGCTAGATTTTGTTATCTGTTATGCGCTATAGATGCATTTTGTCTATATAAATCAAGAAATATTCGTGTGGATAAAAGTGCAGGTAGATTATTTGGTCAAACAACATCAGATGCTTCAAAAACATTTTGGGATTCAATTATACATCCATTGTCAACATTAATTATGCTTATATGTTTATTGGGGAAACCTGTGGTTACAATTCTTTGGCTTGGTATATGGATAAAAGAAGCCCTACTATCTGAAATGATACAATTAATATTTCATTATTCCGGTATGCATTCATCGCATAAAACATTTCGTTATGTTTTACCATTGTGTTCATGGCTGATCTATTGGACACAAGGTTGGGTTAGCTTCTTTCAACAGGTGAGTGAGTAATTTATTTCTTCGTTTTGGTGCTTATCTACTCTTAAGCTAAACGTCAAGCGTGTGGGAGATAAATGACCGATGTAGTGAAGTATAGTTGTGCTGAGAGGAGGCCGTATTTTTATCAGTAGTAGTAAGACACTGAAATGATTAGGCTAAAAAATTATTTTTATTTCTTTCATGAAAAATTCCCATTCGAACATTAATAGACAGAAGACCAGTAGTTCAGCGAAGAGTCTCTTTTAGGCGAATTCATTTTCATAGCTGTGCAATCGCAAATATATATGATTGTTTTGTATGTGTGAGTACATTAAATTTGTCAAACGAAAATACAATTAGTGAGTTCAGATGAATTGGGTGTTGATATAAGAGGATAGTAACAAAAGTGATGACCTGTCACAAATGATTGTTAAGAAAGAGTTACATAATAACGTGAATAGTTTGATGAAAGAGTTGTGCTCAGGGTGCACATGGAAACAAAATAACATACGGAATTATGCAAGGGTTTTAAGTAGTTAGAAAAATAAGCATACAAACAAAAGTTAAGTCAAATCAACGGAGTTGTTACCATGAGAGTAGAAGTGGTTGAATAATTTTCTTTTGTATGCATAGTTCTGGTTCTTCCAACTGAATGGCTAGGGCTTCTGCGATGCAAAGAAGACGGAAACGTATTGTCTTTGGAAGGTTGTTCTTCACTTTGTAGATTACTTTGAAGGAGGCGTTTGTTGAGATGGAATGACCAGTGTTGACGAGATGTTCGATTTTTGCACTCCTTATACTGCCACCACTTCCTTTCTGCAGCCACGATGGATAGTGTTCTTTGACCCTTTTTGAAAGGATGTGCGTTGAACGGCCGAGGTACATGGTTCCACAGCAACAGGTGAACTGATATGTTTTACTTTGTTTCAGCTGCTCATCAGATAGTGTCAGCATTTTCATTGACTTATTGTACTGATTATATGTCCTTTGGTTAACTTGAATTTAATTGTCGCGATCCCAATGAAATTTGTAAGGGTTGGAGAGGGTTTCAAACTAGGAGGAAACCGACATTGGATATTACATCATTTCTACTGGTTGGCTGAGTGATTTCATTTCAATGATTAAAGTGGTTTTTGTGTTTTAGGCGAACTTGTTTTTTTGTCATTTGTTGAGACTGAAATACACCATATCGTAAGTTCAACACACAGACTGTATAGTACTTCGACATCATGTAAACTGTAGATTCGCTGAACATAGTTGAGTTTTTTTTATTTTAAATGTTTAGATACTCTTAGAATAACCTGATGTGACAACTAGAATTTGTCGCTTAAAGACTGCATAATTGAAAAAATAAAAACATTGAAGAATTGTAAGTGGTCATGGCAACAGTGAGAAGAATGATCACTGTATCTTATCAGTTGCTCAACTGAATAAATTTCACTGTCTGGTCATTAAACATATTCAAGGTTACATCTCCATATATTTGCCTGGAGTACTTGTCATCCTTTGCCTTCATTGATTACTGTTACACTCAAGCTGTAAGCATTGTTTTAGTTACATAGATTCTGGCTGGTTCCTGCCTGATTACCGTTTATAGTTGTATTCGTTTAAATTTTCATATTTCAACTATTGGATAAGCCTTTTCACCAGTCAGTTACGTTTAAACCTGCAGTGGTGATAATTGTTCCATGCAACAGGCAAAAACAGGTAGCAGTCATGTTGAAAAACATTTTTAAGACGTTACTTAAACTCTGCTTAGTGGACATGTTTGTATTTTATTCACTAGTCGTATTTTTCTTCTGTTTATCATTTATGCTACTTTTCTTAAATAAATTTATTGTACTAATGTTCTGTTATCTCAGGGGAATTCCTTAAGTTTGTCAACTGTCGATTTGTCTGCTGCATATGTTGGTCTTCGGCATCATCAACCATTGATAGCTGGCCTACTACTAGCCTTTTACACTTATTCAGGACCATTAATCTGGCAGTTAGCCTATTTCTGTCGATTTGTCCTACCTGGGCATAAACATTTCGGTGAAAAATTTAACTGTCTTGTTTTAGGCTTCATTATTTTGCCTATCACACTGTGTGGCACATACTGTTTCTTTCTACAATCACACTTATTCATCTGGACAGTTTTCACGCCAAAAATGCTTTATTCTGCTATTTTCTATGTAACTCTAGTTCCTGTTCTATGCTTATGGGCTGTGATAACTTCTTGAATTTTTATATTTTTCTCATTCTTTTCACATTGTTTAAGACTAACGGGTTACTTTGGTCTTATTTTGTTTTCAAATGTTCATTTGCTGTTTTTTAATTTTTATTTTACCTCAACGTTTATTGTATTTTGTCTATGTTTTTGATACAAGATAAGTATGTTTTTAAAGAAAATAAATGACTTTCAGTTTAGTTGAATTAACTGACTTCTTTATTCTGTAACTTCAAAAGTAAATTGATCAGCTTTTCGGTGTCTGTGGAATAATGAAAAGAGGTTATTGCATGAAACCGATGGGGACAAATTGTCTTAAATCCTGGTTAACGTGAATGAAGTTTTAACGGAGGGTGTAAAAAGAGCTTAGGAAGATTAAAACCACACTATTTTAGTATTATTTCTGTGAGATGACTTCAGTTCATAATTTCTAAATAGAGCTGATTATTGTTAACCGCTTTTATACTGTGCTGTGGTGAGAGATTTTATTCATCGAATCACCAAATTTTATAGAAATGGCCTACAGAATGAAATTAACACGAGTGGATAATTTTAAGCATGCATGAAGACAGGTAATGGGGCGTTGCGTAACAAGAATAAAATTAAAAATGTCCATAAATACTAGGTGTAATAGTAACGGCAAAAGACAAGAAACTTGCTAACGGAAGATTTACTTAAGATTTCGTATCTCTGTATAGCGAAATTATGCACACCTTATATGAAAACCGTCATTTGCATAGGTATTCCGCGTTGTGCTACTTCTGCCTTTCGTAGTGTGTGCTTCTTTTCACGTCTCCCATGTTTCACTACAACACTAGTTAATTTGCTCTCTTTGACATCTAATCTATCTCTTCGCTATTTGATATTTTTCTACCAATGAAAATCTGATAATTCTTGTCAGCACTCGCCATAGAATTTTCACTCATATCTAATATTACTGCTATTTCATTCTTAGATTTATGAAAAATAATTTCAGAAACTATCTGTTACTTTTCAGACTAGTAAAGATAATAGGCTTTATGTACATTTTAATCCTTCGTATTTGCTGTTTATTAGGGGTGAAATTTTGCTCTGAATAAAGCAATAAACAGTGCTGAAACGTCGTGCTTCACTAGAGGGTTCCACGCCTTAATGAAAAAAAGACCAGGTTAAATAATCTGTGATTTTGAACTTGAAAGTGATATGCACCTAGTCCTCGGAAAGATGGAATAAGTATAAAATTTAACACTGAAATCCTAAGTAAGATACTGAATGTCTACATCATGTCCCTTCTTATCTTCCGTTAGGATAGTGGAAATGAATCTAGTATATCATTCCCCACTTGATATTATAGATTTGAGAGTTCACTGATGAATTTACACCTCAATCTTTGAACTCTTGTTAACATGTCCGTATACTGGAAAATTAATGTGTGTGAATACCTAAATTACACCAAGAATGCGTTTTGTTTCATGCATGTTAACAGTTTAGTTCTGTTTATCACGAATGAAAATGCTTCACTCTCCAAAAAATTTCACAAACCACTGAGTAAAAAGATTCACCTTTGTTTTACTCATTTGTATGTATAAATTTTCATTTTAAATTGTAGTATATAGAAGACTATTCTGAAAACTTCTAACGATACATCTCGACTCAGTAGTATCTATGAAGATATTTGGAGAAGCTTATAAAGAAAAATTGGTAAAAATGCAAAGCAAGATTTATTTTCGTCGATGATTAGTAGATATTTTGTCGTCCGGCTTGCGAGTCTTAGGTAAAGGCTTTTGCAATTGTCTTATCATTATTGATAGAAATAAACTTCATCCTTATTCAGTTACTTTCTTCTGAATATCCCAAGGAAACACTATCTAGACAGAGTCATACACTATTAAAAGTTAAGTGTATGCCTTTGATATTTAGGATTTACCCATACATTGGCATGTGTAAAACTACTAATTGTGGGAAAAATTAACTTTTGAAGCCTATTTTGTCATTTTCCGGTTGATGTTTTCGCATTCTAACAGTTGAACAACAAATTAAAATTGTTTTGTAACAGATAATCCACTTATTGTACTAAGACAGATGTAGTCGAGGGGCCAATCTTATGTCCACTTATACGCTTCTTTGGAAAAGACACAGAAGCTGCTACGTACAACACGGGTATTACGGTAGCATTATCTACTGTTTATTACCATTACAGAAATACCTCTCATTCAACCAATGAGTCACCAAGTTTGGAGGCAATAACTCACATCAACAAATTTTATTAGTTGTGTAGTATTACGAAGGGGATGAGAGCCGAAACTCCATTCCATAATCACGCGCCTAGCTTTCGAAGTAGTTCGTTTGCATTGTCTAGGAATAAGTTATGAAAGCCACAAAGTTTATAATCCTAATTTCTCTGGTACCGCAGACCTTATGGTGCCAGTGCCCAAAGGTACACTCATCCTTGCAGTCTTGAAATTTGTAAGCTGGCGCGTGATGACTGTGGACGAGTCACTTCGTTCAAGTCTCTTCTGTATTATAGATCACCACTCTAGCAAACGCTTCCTGGTTGACACCAGGGAAGAAGCTACATTAATCCTATCTGCGGCAGAACAACGTATGCGACCGACATACCGACAAACTTTTGCTACCATCGGTTGTCCCATTACCGCAAACAGACGAAGATTCCTCAATATCGGACTTAGCCATTATTTCAGCAATGTTTCTGTAGTACACGACATGACCGCCAGAATTATTGGTGCAGCGCTATTAGATGTTTGGTGATGCTAGCAAGCATAAGCTGACAAATTATGCCATACGATTCTTCGTCTTTGGTAATGTCACATGGGTACCGTCTATCAGCCTATAGAATCCCAACCCGAACATTTCAAGTCTTTATACCTCTGACCTTCTGCCCTGCCAGAGATTTCCAAACCAAATGGTGGCGTCATACTGAGATAACTGTCTGTATCCAATAAACGACGCAGGCCATCTCTCGGGAAATATTAAGCAATCAGCACTGCTTTCTAGAGTATGCTCGAGATGGCCATAATCGAACCACTCAACAACCTACGTATTCACCCCCGAAATGCATTGACTAAAACCAAAGACATGGACTAAAAGTCATATAATAATTGGCGTAGACTCAATGACGAAATGGTTCCAGATCGTTATCCAGTTCCGAAAATATGCAAATTGGGTGCTTCTTAGAAAGGTGTGTCTGTGTTCAGTAATCTTGATCCGACATGTGTCGTTATCAGATCCCAGTGCACTTTGATGCCGTCCCGAAGACCGGTGTTATTACAACTTTCGGTCACTTCACGTTCATCCACGTGTCCTTTGGTCTATGCTACTCCATGCAGACACTTCAGAATTCCACCTATAATGTCTCCCGTGAACTAGATTTCGCATGTGTATATCCGGACGACATTCTGAGAGCTAGTTCATATGAGGAAACTGATTGTAATCGCCTGAAACAAGTTTCAATAAGAAATAGAAATACAGTGACTGAAAAGTCTTGTTATGTATAAAAAGTGCCTCCAACATTCCACCATGCTTCACATGTACAGTGAATCACTAGTTTATTGTTAATTATTCTAATATTCTTTCAAATGGAAAATCAAGCGTAAACAGCACATCTGCATTTTATTCTATTTTCTGTATTTCCCTATAGAGGTCTCTATGATTACCCATAAGCTACCATCTCCACCTGACACGATCTTCTCAATATCACCCTAGAATACACAATTGATTGTTTCTCATTCGAATTCCACTAAAGGTCCTGGTGAGCGAAATCCCTCAACGCTCCTCTCAGTGTGCATCTAATTCATCTTCGTTTTCTTCTACATTGAAGCTGAGCAACAGGTTCTTAGTTTCTTCTCTCTAATCCTTTTTGACCATCTAATTCCTAGTACGGAGCGAAGATGGCTGCTGACAGTAGTCTGCAACCAGATGTGAATGCTCTTGGTGACACGCCAAATTTGAGAATAATTAAAAGGAATTGACATAAGTGTTGAAAATCCGAATCTTGTTCTTTGTGTAATAGATTTTCACACTGCTTTCAGAGTTACGAATATCTGCCTTGCTTTTCCTATTCTTTATATAACATTATCAACTATGCTACCTGTTACTGAAACGATGCTGGATAGATAAGTGAGAGTGGTGACTTCCCTTAAATTTTTCCCGTTGCCAGTGATTAGTGACTACTGTTAAGCATTACGACCACCTGTCTTCTCTATATTCACTCGACACCTTAACTTGACTGCTGATTTCTCATACTAAATTGTTGCTTTTCATCTGTAGGTCTTCAAGTTTGGGATGACATTGATAATATATCATCGGTGATGCATAAATCATCTAGGATTATCTTGTAAATCTTAAGCATTATAGTCTTTTTACTCCCAACGGTCGGTCTCATGATTCAGTCTACCATAGTCAGGAATATCACTCGTGATTTTAGGCAGCCTTGTCTTAATTCCTCTCTTCACTCCAAATGCTAAACTGAGTTTTCTGTCACAAATCACTTGACACGTGGCAACATCACATAGTTTCTGAGTGGGGTTGATAGAGATATTTTGAGCTGCACACTGTATTGTTGAAGCTGGAAAGTTGTGCGAGTACCTTAATATGATGATGAGAAATAAATTCTGCTCGGAACGTCGTCAGTAAATATTACTGTACAACTCTCTGTGACTTTATCAAAATAAAATTTTCATCCATAATGGAACTATACCCTACCGCAGTGGCCAATATTTATCTTCATATTGTTGAAGCAGTTTACCAATTACTTCGCCATCGCTGTCGAAAATCTTTTTCAAATCGCTGAAGCTAAGATAAGATAATGACTGCCATTCTACGCTCTGCTTGGCGATGATATCGAGCTCGTACATGATTCCCTTCACTCAATTCTAGCTTGTTCTGGACGCATTTTGCCCACAGAGTCTTTCAGTTTGTCCGTGTCGTTGCGACTGAATATTTTGCTTGCTGAGGACAAGAGCATAACTCCACGCCAGTTTTCCAAAAGGTCTAAGTCGTTCTTCTGCGGCTGTTCGACATCTATGTATATGGTTAAGTACATGTGATACTGTGTGTTGGAGGTGTTCAGATGTACATTAGCAAAACCTGTCTCAGCTATGGAGAATGATCCAGTGGTATTTAAATTGTGCTTTTACGCTTTCTAGTGCTAGCGGCCGTTGCCACTACGCATCTAATTTCCCACAC